CAACAAAAATTATCAGATTGTCCTGACTTTTGAAGGAATCTATATGCAATATATTGGCAAAGTTCATAATATAAATCTTATCCACTCAAGAGGAAGGTACAGTGTGTGTCCTAGCAGTAAATATGAGAAAACTAAATATTTTTGTCAAATATGGGGAAAAAAATTATGTTTGGAACATATTAATGCTTTATGTGATAAGTCAAAATTTACATATTTAAATGTCCTATATTTTTTTTATTTTTGTATGTATTAGTGTAAATCTTGTTTTATATTAAAGAATAGATTGAATTATAATGATGATATGATAGGTAAATTATTTTTTTATTTAAAATTTAATAAAAGTAGACTTTTTTTAGAAAATTTTGGCACAAATTATAAATATCCTAATTATTTTTAATCTAAGCACAATAAATTAAAATTAAATATTTAATCAAGTTTGAGGTTTGTTCTATCTTATATCCAAATATTAAACCAAAATATTAAAACAGAAGGAGATATATACATTTAAAATTGGGGTCTATTAAACCCCATCATAGTACTAACGTCATTTTTTTCACCGGAGTATTGCAGAGTTAATAAACATATATTATGTAGTGCTGTGAAGTAACGTCCAATAAATAACGACGTTACTTTTTTTGAAGAAAAGAAACGCTATTCGTTACCTTCTTCTTGAGTTAACGAGTAACGGTAACGCGTTTCTTTTTTTAAAAACGGTAACGCAAAACGTTACTTGTTACTTTATATTTTTTCTTAAAAAATATCAACAAAAAGAATAATATATTTTATTGTATTATAAAATTAGTTTTATTTATTTTTTAAATCTTAATATTAATAATTCAAGCTGAGTTTTAATTCATATCAACCACTTCCTTCATTTTTATTTTAAATTCTCGTTATTAAATTTTCTGTTGAAATAAATATTCAATCAAAATTCAAAGTAAAAGTTAATAATGATATTATTATTCTTATAATTTATTTTAAGAATATTATGTCCATAGTACTTACTTCTTCAGATGAAGATTATTTAACCCTTCCTTGGCCTCAATTTGATATATTTTAAACCAATAAAGAATATTAATGGTACCAAGTCTATACTTTGTAAATGTAAATTATATCCCAACGCAAATATTTCAACCTCAATATCCAGCAGTTCAAACTTAAAAAAGCATAGGTAAAAAGTAGAATTAATATATCATTATTTTAAACATTACTTTAATAATAGAATAATATTCTTTCATAAAAATTTGAAAAGCTTAATTATGGAATTAAAATGTAGGCTGTGCCGATATTAAATATCGGATCGGCACCGATATTTGGCGTTTTCCAATAATATCAGATCGGGCCCATAACCGAAAAACCCGATCCGATTTTTTACTTTTCTTTTTTTTGATATTTATATATATTTTACGTTATTATAATATTTTCTAAATAATTTTTTTTAAACAATGCAAATGCTCAACACCCTCTAAATTTATTTCTTTTTTAAAATAGATTTATAATATTGAAAATTTTTGTTTTATTTATTTTAAATCTTATTAAATAATAACGCCAATTTTATTATTTATTTTAAATAAAAATATTTAAAATGCGTTATCTGTGAATCATATGAGTCTCCCTTTAGTACGGCAGGGGATATAGATAGTCCATATCGTTGAAGTTTATTGCCAAAAAATCTAGAGGCTCTCATATTTATTAAAAAAATCTAATATATTATAATTTTATATATTAAATATTACAATTTTATAATTAATACCAACATAAAATGGATATATTATCAAATATATGTTTTTTTAATTATAGTTTTAATTGTAGAAATAAAGAAATTAAATTAAATGCATAATTTGATTTTTTGCATACAAAATATTTTACCTATTTACTATAAAAAAATTCAAAAGTTAAAAAATAACGATTATGACGTCACTTTCTATGGTACATCCTCACTGAAATTTTATCTTAACATGTTTACAATATATATTTTTACCTATTAGTGAAATTAATGGTTAGTACAGCATTTTTAGAATTTTATTTTAGATATGATGTACAAAATAATCTTACCCAGGCATTCTTTCTTCTATCCTTAGTTACTATTTAAGATAGTCTTTCTATCAAATTTTTAATTAGATACTAGTATCTGTATCTAAAATAATCTATATCGAAATTATTATTTTTCGAGGATCTGACCAACTCAATCCTTTAAGGTTGTCTAATTTCCATATACATCTATTTTTGCACTGATTTTTGAGCATACAAAAAGTTGTGCTTATTTCCCAATTAATTTTATGTTCATTTTTGAATCAGTTCTATTTCGGAAAAATACAAAATCAAAGGACTAAATTGGCAAAATATTTGTTAAAAAATGTTGATAAGGAAATATAAAGTTTTAGATTGGGATCTTAAGGTATTTGATATGAAGGTAAAGTATTTTAGATTAGCATGTATATTATGATTATAGGAGGATATAAATATATGGAAACAAACTCGGCTGAAAGTTGGGTGAAAGCGCGACGATGGCCAATTAAAGGGGGTGGGTATAGGGGCTTTAAATCAATAAAATTATAGAAATTTTAAAAATAAATTGGCATCCCCTTTTATAAAAGCTAGCAACCATGAGCATATTTAAAAAGGAGTCTCTCGATTCGATCCTTGAATATTCAAAGACATGCACAAGTGGAAAAATCGAGTGTTAACTAACTCCTTCCTTTTAGTTTATATTCACAATAAACTTAAATATGACATACTTATAAATATAATTAATTACTAAATAATTTTTTTTTGTAAATCTCGATCTAGGATGAAGAGAAAGGAATAAGTTCCAGTAACGTCATCGCTAGTATATACCAGTAATGCCCTCCAACTATTATATTCAGAATAAAAAACCTGCCATTCTAAATGACATTTTTTAAATATAATTGATAAAAGCACCAAGAGCGGAATATGTTCTATGCAAACCCAAAAATAATATATGAAGGGAATATTTCATTCCACAACAAATTTTAGGAAATATTATAATAACTAAACCTTTTAATTATATATCATCTTTAGGTAGTGTTGTTAATCGACTAAGTCTAGTCGACTTAGCCGAAAACTGACTTGAGTTGTGAACTCAAGTCTAACAACTTGAGTCGACTAGAGGACGAAGATTTGAAATATTATTATTAATTAATAAAACATTTGTTCTGTTTTTACTTTAGACTTGCAACTTGAGTCGTGAACACGAGTTATATACTTATGTCGGCTGGAGAACGAATAAATTATTGGGAATGGGGAAGATAGTGATTTAAATTTAGTCTAGAATTTTTAATATATTTTTTTAAAGCTTTTATCAGAATTGTGAACAAACATTATAACAATTTAATATAATATAGCGATACACTTTATACCAACAAGATATTTATTATAAAAATCGCGAAGGGGGGAGGGGTGTTACTGCTTAAAACCTATTCATACTGTGATTGCCGACTTTTTTTAGAAAAACCAGAGCTCTATTATGTCAAGACAAACTTTGGTTTTATTTTAGACCTTTTTTTTTATCGGGATAATTTTTTATCCCAAGAAAATAATTGAGCTGGCTCACTAATTTTATATTCCTATCCAGGCCTGAAATTATTTTTTCAATAATTAATATAATTTGAATTTACTTTTTGTTTCTTAGAAACACTCCCTTTTTCCTCTTTTTAATAATATATTATTTGTTTTCATGGTACTTTTAAAATAAATAAAATTTGTATTTTTTATTTTTATTTAGTTATAATAAAAAAAAGTAACATATTTTATTGTTTTATTTATAAAAATTTAATTATTAATAAAAAAATTCATTCACGTAGATTTTTTAGTTATTCAAATGTCTTATTTATGTGAATGATAATTCTATATTTAATATTCTCGTAAAAATTACGCGAGACATAATTTTTGATATTTGAGAATTTTCTAAGCTAGCGTAATTTTAAAATACATTCACTGTTAAACTTTATTTTAACTTTACATAAAAATTATTTATTAAAATAGAGAAACATAAATTAAAATGTTTTTGATCTTTGATTTTAAATTTGTGAAACCTTAGATAAAATCTAATAAAAATAGGCTTATTTATAATCTTATATTAAATAAATTATTACTAAATATCTTCAAAATAATATATAAATTACACAATATTTATTTATATTTTAAATATTTATTGATAAGGATAACGGTATAATACAAATAACAAGATTTATAATAGAATCAATAAGATACAAATGTATATATATATATAGATAATGATTTCATATTGAAACATCCCAATTATTTAAACACATACAATGTTTAAGTGTTGTCGGTGACATCCTGTTTCGCTACTTGGTCAAAAAATAAACGGCCTTGCTGAATCCTCTTTCGCTTGGAACGCTGGACGTTTGTTGAGCAAGGTAATCCTTAGCTATCAGCGACAAGGTTGGGTAAAAATCGCTGTTTTTCGCCCACCAATCAAGTATATTAGTTGACGCTGGTGCAACCGGTTCTTTGACATATTCTATAATTTCATCTCTTGTGAGATCTAGAAATTCACAAGCTTCTCTAAAATTATAAATTAATATAACCAAATATTTATAATTACTTTCTCAATTCGTGATACATATTGACCGAATAAGGCTGTTTCCAAATCACCTGGAGAGAAGTCATACACATTTGCTTTGTGTGGCCACCCGTAGGTTTTATATAATAAATTGAATTTTTCATTATAATCCTGCTTTGCTACAAAATGAGGCATATATTTCATTTTAGTGTTCGGATCTTAAAATTTAATTATGGTCATTCTTTCATTTTTTAAGCATCTAATAAAAATATTTCAGCATAACACCTCTACAAAAAGTTTATAATTTAGGAAATTAATATAAGTATAAAAATAATCAATGTAAATTATGGACAATTTATTTGATCAAATTGAATATTTATGAAAAAAATATAAATGTAAAATTAATATTATATGTAATTATAATGCAAAAATAATAATAAATCAACATTTTCTGGATTCTAACACGTTCTTTTTTGTTCTAAAAATCTTCCAGCAATGCTAAATCCGCGTTCGGAAGAAGCACTAGATGCAGGAATTGATATCTTTGCTTTCTTGTCGTTTCCATTAAAGTAGGATATCCGTTTGAAGTATATCCTCTTCCTCAAGTGAGATCTTTAAATAAAAGTGAAACCAAATGCAAATTGCAAACCCAAAAAAGGGAAATTTTAAGAAAAAGGTTTTATTACATTCCCATAAAAGGAAATTTTTAATAGACAAAAATGTTTATTTATTCTGAGAAAAAAGTTTTATTGTTGTATTTATTACATAATATAGTTAGGTAAATGTTCTTCACTTAAAAAAAAACTATTGGTACAATAAAAAAAGAAATTGTTATAGATCATTTAAACAATTATTTTTTTTAGTTTGTTTTTGAACAAAAATTTTAAATTTCCTTAAACCGCCCGCCTGCCCATTCTCGAAAATTTTTTTATCCGCCCATCCCCCCACTTAGATGGGCGGGCGGGCCTTAGACCTCTAGTACATATATATTATTTTTGGAATTACATATTTAGCTAATCAAACTATGATCATGATTATAAAAAAAACTTACCATCGTTAAAAAGCTCAATAGTGTACCTTTACGCGTAAAGACTAAAAAAATTAATTATTTTATTGAACTCGAAATTTTATGAAGAATCATGCTTTAGATATATTTTTTGCGTCAACGATTTTAAAAAATATGCTATTTTGTCATTTTCTTATAAATCGCGAAATAAATAAGATTTTTAAATATTGCATTTTGTAATTTTTTAAATTAAATATTTATTAATATAAATTTATGACTAAAGTGATTACTATTTATTTACAATAGGTAATAACATATAAGAGGGTAAATATTTAATGTTTTATTTTTCAAAATTTAACATTAGTTTAAATTTGGGTTAGGAAGCATTGTCGACGTTATACGTCCTACTTGTTCTGATCTAAAAGCGATCCGTCCTTTTATCAATTAAATGTGTTTTTACAGGATTTTAAAAATATAACAAATTAAGAGATTTACAAGCTAAATAGCCTATATATGTACCAATTTCAATGGATAATGTATCCACTGGAATGGCAAGCAATACCATGGGCTTGATTTAATAAAGGTAGACTTTTACACCTTTTTTTCTATCCTACTTTTATCCATAATATAATGTCATAAGAAATACTATTATTAATTCATAATACTATATCAAAGTTACAATTAATTGTAAGTATATATATAAATTTTCTTTTATTATTAATTTGAACGAATTAAAGCATTAATAATCATGATTTTTCTATTAATTATTATTAGAATACACCACTCATCGAGTGTCACAGTAATATGTCAAATATCATATTCTTGATTTCAAACACTTGAATTAAAAAATTTCATAAAAAGCCTGCCCTTATTAGAGAATTATAATATAATTGGTATGTCTATTTTTTTTCCAGATTTGCCAGAGCATCCCTTAGTCAGAGTTGGGGAGTACCGCGAATACTTGTATCTAAGATACAAGATCCTTTTGTATCTTGTATTCATTATTTTTTGACATTTTTAATAAGATACTAGTATCTGTATCTAAGATCCTCTATTCTGAAAAGGATCTTGATTCATTTTCATGACAAAAGATACAGATTCTTTTTAATATTCATGTTTAAAATTTTACATATTTTATTTTCTTCAAGAATCTTGTATTAATTTCCTTCTTTTTTCAGCCATATTTTAATATATTGACAACCAAAATTACCTGGAAAATTTACAACTCATATTAAGATAGAAAGATAAAAATTAGCAACACCAAAACGAAATGAGTATAGTTTATATATAAATGTAACTCGATAAAATATCATTACCAATTTTATGTAATATTTTAAATTTGTAGGATGATTAACTCTCATGGTAGTGAAATTTAATTTATAGAAACCCTGAATTATATCCCTATCTTAAAATTTTATATGGAAATTTTTTAAGATAAAAGTTAAAAAAAAACAATTTACAGGCTAGATGTAAAACCTGTATAAACAAAAAAATGATAAAGGGTTAAACCCAAATTTTATTAAACATATTTAAGTATATTATTTATTTGTAGTTAAAAGGGACATAGGTTATCTTAAAAATTTAAGTTTACAATATTGTCTACCTTTATTAAAAGCTGCCCAAGATAGTATGGGCAAAAGATTTTAAGAAAATATTTTCCTATGATTTGAATATAATGTGGCTTTTTTGACATCAATATTACATCCATATTTTAAGAACTTATGGATTTCGGATAATAAAAAAAATAATTTCAAAATATATTAATAAAAGAAGCACTAAATGTAGTACCAGAGTATATAATCAAGCTCAAACTATAAAAGCAATATGTTAACATCTAATAAAGAAAATGACGATTATGTTTCTTTTAATGAAAAAACTGGTGCTGAGTTCATTAATACTAATAACATTGAGCTGGAGGTTTTAAATTATATTAAGTCGAAATATATTATAAATGCTTAATTATTATCCTACCATTAAGTAAAAATACTGCAATACCTTCATCAGCTCCAATTAATGTTATTTAGTTTTGGTACAATGTTAAGTACATCGAAACGGCAAAGGTCTAATTAAATTATTTGAAATACTCTGAAAATTAATATTTCAACTTCCATTAAAAATACTAGTCTCCCTTCTCATTCTATGCTAATGATGGGCTAATACTAATATTAAAATGCTTAATTATTATAATTAACTTATCACTAAATGTTTTATTAATTATTGTAAATATTCATTCTTATTATATGTGTATGTTATGTTCTTCACAAATAAATAGTAAAAACTGTATTTTATAAGATATTCTTAGTAATAATAATTTAAATGTATCTTGTATTTAAGATACTTTATTTGAGTAAAAGATACAAATATCTTTTATCTTTTTGATATTATGCAAAAGATACTAGTATCTGTATCTAAGATTCATTTTTCCACAAAGAATCTGTATCTAGATTCTTTTTCAAGAGGGCTTGACCAACTCTACACTTAGTAATTTAAATATTAATTAATTTATGATTTAATATATTCTTCCAAAAAAAACAATAATTTTAAATTTATGTCATTTTATATTTTATAGGTAACTCACTAAATCATGGGGAAATTTTTAATATTATTTTTTTTCTTAAATTTATGTCATTTTATATTTTATAGGTAACTCACTAAATCATGGGGAAATTTTTAATATTATTTATTTAAAAAAAAATTTGTTTATAAAAAAAAATTGTTAAAATTAAAATAAGACTTCTTTCTACTAGACTAAACAATAAAAAATTTTTTAAAAAAAATAAAAATTTCCCCGTGATTCAGTGAGTTACCTATTTTTTTGGTAACTCAATATAAATATATATTAAATATTTTATATTCATTAAAATATGAATTTTTAACAATAAATTATTCTTATATTATATCTTTTTGAAAAATGTTATATCTTATATTTATATATGCAATTTAAATAATATAAAATCATAAATATATGAAATATTAACGTTAAAATCATTAAAAACATAGATTTATTAAAATAAAAGTTGCAATGTTCAAGTGATTATTTTAATGTTATTTTAATCGTTGAGCAGTCTATATTAATATAAGTCAATGTTTGGAACGGGATATATCTAGGTATCGGAATCTGATTTTAAAATTTATATGAACAAATATCGGAACCCTTTTATAATTTCCATATGTATTTTGCATAAAATTTTGAATTATTCATTTTAGAGGATTTATTTATTATCAATTATTTTAATAGCATATAATGCGAAACCAGAATTCTCAAAACCGTGTAAAATTTATGAACCGGAAATCATTTTGATGCAGATTTCAAACTCTGATTACAACATATGATTTAGCAAATAAAAATTGAAGACATCTTATTTTAGGGGGAAAAGATCAAGTTAAAATAAGATAATTAAAAAAATATATTCAAAAATTAAGGTAGTATTTATGTTGCCTACTACAAATTATGTATTTTTTTTCGAATATAACAATAATCTTCATAAATCACATGTTTAAGGCGATTTTTAAGGCTTGATCGATATCATTAATAAGATCTTGATAATCTTCAATTCCAACAGATAACCGAACTAAATTATCAGTGATACCAATCGCCTCTCTTTTTAACTTAGGTATGGAAGCGTGTGTCATTAATGCCCTAATTTATTTAAAAAATTATGAAATAATAGCAAATAATTAATTAATTTACGGATGTTCGGCTAAACTTTCATAACCTCCTAAGCTTTCAGCTAAAGCAAAGATCTATTAAAAATTATTATTATAGTATTATCTAATTATTTACTTTCAAATTTTGTAAGAATATTTTTGCTTGTTCAAGATTTCCTTTAATATAAAAAGTAATCATTCCGCTGTGCCCCTTAGTTTGCTTGATAGCTAATTCATAATGAGGGTGCGAGGGTAACCCTAAAATTAGTATTCAGAATTATATTAAATTAAGATTATTATATACATGGATGTAACACTTTTTCAACTCCTGCGTGATTTTCCAAATATTGAGCTATCTTCAAACCATTGGAAAAGTGCTCTTTCATTCTAACATGTAAGGTTTTAATACCTCTATTAACCAAAAAACAATCAAAAGGCGATGGTACACCCCCAATAGCTTGATGTAATATAAAAATGTTTTCAAAATATAGAAATAATGAGACCAAATTTTTTGAAAATTCTAATTATAAATTTTTATATCGGTGAATGTCAACAGAATAAACATAGTTAGTTGATTGTTGTTATTAAACTTTATAAGTCCTTTTTTTCTAGACTCCGAACTCTAAATCCGATTCAGAGATTTTTCACTGAATCCGAACCCCTTTTAAAAACAAGTTTTTACAGCCCTACTATTACGACATTGGTCGATATATGGAACAGATTCTAATATCGTATGACTCTAACGCGATCAGTGTCTGAGAAAAATTACGCGCCCATCGGCAAAGAAGAAGTGTATTAGTATTGAGAAATTTCACAATTATATATATGGTAGACATTTCATTATACGTTCCAATTATAAACCTCTAGAAATAATTTTTAAGTTGGATTTACCTAAAATATCTAACAATTGTCTGCTTAGGTAGGCATGAAAACTTTGAGCATATAAGGACATTAATATCGTGAAGGTCTTCTAAAAAAATTGCAGGTGTATTATCACGATTGCCTATACTCTATGATAAACATGACGATAATGATAAAAATCAAGCAAAAATGATAAACCTCCTGGCACTAAATGATTTCTCGATCGCTAAAGAGATGTAAATAAGATAAAACAGGATGCCATTCTAAAAAGATTAATGGACTTTATTAAACTATATTGCTTCTTTCAGCCGATTTTAAACTATTTTATGACAAGAGAAAAGTATCGGTGAAACAAGGTATCGGAATGGTCAAATGGTGATACCTTAATTATATAATCAAGTTTTAAAAATACATGGAGGTGAGAAATATAGCTCGTTTGTACATTTGGTGAGACTATTTAAATAGACATCGAGCTGTTTGCGAAGCAATATAATAGTTGTAAAGAAAATAGATGATCAATTCAAGATATCCCTTTATTTTCGGAATATCGTTGTAGACATGGGAAGGTTTTCATTTCGAGTTTAGGACCCGTATTGGTTGGTCTGTATAGATATCTATTTTATGAACAACTAAAATAGATGATAGCTGGAGTAATAATTCGTCGTGTGATAAAGATTATAAAAATCGTATGCCTCCCTCACTAAAAACGGGACTTAAGTCTGGATAGAGTTAAGAGAGGCCCTAAAGGATGCAAGAAAAAATACCATGATGAAAAGTAAAAAAGCCGAGAGTTTAGGGAGAATCAGCCAGTGCCGAAGAAATGAGTAAAGGGGGGGGGGGGATGGGTTCGTAAACACACCGACCAATTGAGGGATAGTCGCCTTGGAGGAAGTCATTGAGAGAAATAGGGAGAAAGCACTTGCAAAGGAGGGCGAACCAACCAAAAAAACTAATAGAAGAATTAGACTATCTTTGCTAGATTGCGGAAAATGTAACGTATTAAAATATCTTTTAAAAATTATAGTTACATTTTTTATATCGATGACATGATTAACATATGTTGATTTTCGTATAGTGGCGTAGCTAGGATTTGTAATAAGGATTTTCAATGCCCAGGCTTCGGCTGGGTCCCACCTTATGAAAAATTATAATTAGAAATGCATATGATTCATTTCTCCGTAATTATTTTTATTTTGCTTTATAATATGTAAACAATTGGATGTGCTAATTATATATGCCAATGCCTTATGCTTTATGAGTTCATTAACCAGTGTAGTAACCAATTTAAAAGAAAAAATTATTAGCAATAGAATGTTAGCCAATCTTAGATTAAAAGGCAACTTAAGCATTCATTCTGCAAATATTCTCAATGTTTAGTTTAATTGTATATTATTTTAACCCGTTTGGAATAGCATAATAGAAAAAAATTGGCATCATATCAGAATAAAAAATATAGAACTAAATGTCTAGCCTGGCTAATATTTAGTGTCTAGTAGTACTTATTATTCTTCAATCAGATCTGCAAACCACAAAAAAGAAACCGAATTATAAACAAAATGAAAACTATGACGTCATCCTTTAAGCATGAAGTGAACTAAAATTTTGGAATCATTAACTGAAACGTATATCCAGTCCATAAGTAGTGCCGAATTAGCACATTTATTACTTTAATTTATTTGGTAAATGGTTTAAAGGGGAAAAAATTATTGGTACTAGCCATAAAAAATAACAAAATTACATGTCAAATAAAAAGTATCAAGCCTTAAGCGTAAAGTCAGTCAAATGTAGGTATGAAGTTTGGCAAAAATAATTCTACTTAAGCCAATATATGATGTTTGAATAGTATTTTAGTTCAATCTAGTTTAGTAAACAGTATAAATAAAGTTAAAGTTGATATCAAGATTCAAGATAGAACGAAGAATCTAGAAGTACTAGTGCAATTATATAAAAAAAGATAATCAAATAAATTTGGGGCATTTGGAATGTAATACCAAAATAAGATAGATTTGTTATGATGAAATTGAAAACGATTATACTAATTGTTTTTACCCCCAAACTAAGGTTGCGCGATTGTTTAGCAAGTAATATTAAGTGCGCTTTTATAATTGAAAATGGAAAAAGTCAAACACCAATCCCATAAGAATTATAGCGTCTTTAGGAAGCGTCCCGTTTTTTAAAATATAATTTATAACAAATTTTTATGTGAAAATTTGATTATAAAATGGAATATATTTATAGTATTGCTTATTCGTCGACTTTTAAGATATTGAAAAACATTATTTAAAACTTGTTAAATATAATAGGAAATTTTAAAATAAAAGTGGTAACTTTAGAAGGTTAATGTCAATAAATTTCAAAATCTAAATATAAAGCTGTTTTTTGACTTCTCGCTTAAAGTGATCTCTTGAACATTTATATAAAAATGTTCGGATAATTTTACTTTAAATAATTTTTGAATATTAAAATTTATAATTTTTCAATATTTTATCATTTCAAAGCCATGATCGATTGCAGAAATCAAATTTTAATATATATATTATATAAATTAATAAACAAATACTATTAGATTTACCATTTTGAAGAAATTTTAGTTCTTTATATAACGTGTCATCATTAACACATATTGAGCCCATAACTACATCGGTGTGCCCTAAAACTAATATATATAAAAAATATTAAAAACAATATACCATTCATATATTTTGTGAGTGAGTGCGTGACAATGTCAGCTCCTAAATTTAAGGGGCGCTATAAGAATAAATTTTATGCTAATAAATTTTTTAATGTACTTGAAAATATGGAGTTAAAAAAGTATTGTCGACAACAACAATCGGTTTAGTGGGCTTAATTTCTTTACATTTTTTCGATATTTCAGCTATATCAATTATCTTCAAAGTTGGATTAGTAGGCGTTTCAATCCAAATCATCTTTAAATATAATTAATTATATAACTAAAATATCTTTTATACTCTAAACAAAATTTTTATCATAATAAATTTCGGAAATACTGATCAAAACGAAACTTCCCGACTTTGTTTCAACTAGCCATTATTTTTTGATTAAATAGAATATTGTTTTTTTGGGGGAAAAAATCAATTAATCGATTTCGTAACAGATCCAGTATTTTTGGGTAGTAGATATATCAAAAAAACCATAAATTAAAACCTAACATTGCATAAAGCTGTATATAAATCAATATACCGCAAAATATTTAATAAATTTGTCAATCCATCATAAATACAAAGTTTAAAAAGAATGTGTTTTAAACTATGTTTAAGCAAAATGAGTCAAATTACTACATAATTTAACATAAGGGCAATGATTCCAGTAAAATCAGCTTATTTATATAAAATTTTATCAAATTATATTTATTTGAGACCTGCAAAATTGATGACCCGGTGGATATATATTATCTAGGCCCGTGGCGGCCAGATTTTTAAAAAGCTTATAAGGAGAAATTTCAAAAATATTTATATTATTCTCATTTTAATGTTTTATTAAAATTAAATATTCAACAATAGCTCTGATAATTAATACTTATCTATTTTAATATAAAATGTGATATAAAACAGTGACTTGCAAAGGTACCAACTGGGCCCGAGTTAAAAAATGTTTTACGGCCCAGCCCGATTATTTAAATTTTTCAGCCTGGATAGGGTTATATATTTTTAGGCCCTGACATTATTTTAAAACTCGGCTCATCAAGAATATAGTAATTATGCAATCAATTTAGCAATTCGACAAAAAGGTTTACAATTTTAAAAGAGTTGGTAGAATGGAGCAATTTAGAATGGTCAGAATTACTCGTTCGATAGGCTGCCTTACGTTAATACCAGCAGTTGAGCGGATGTTTAAATATTACCAACCACTTAAAGAATATTTTTTAAAGTTATCAACAACAGTAACCCTACCAATTTTAAAAATTATTTCGAAGATTATTTTGCAGAGGCACCTTTATGCATTATCCTTAACGTTGGCACTTTAATAAATAACATAAAATTACAATTACAATCTGAAGATTTCTTTTATTAACTAATTAAACACGATGTTACCTTTTAACAAACTATAAAAAATATATTTGCTTGAAAGGAATAACATAGCGATACATATACATGCTCTTATCAAAAAACTTAAAAATTCAGCAAAATTTTTAAGGGAGCATTTCAAAAAGATTTTACAATTTATTAATGATGAAGAGTTGAATTTAAAAAATGAATCAAAGATGTTTGTAAAAAAAATTTCAAATATATAGTAAAACGTTATGATATTATAGACAATATAGGGAAATATCTTAGCTCTATGATATTAGAAAAAATGTCCAGCGTTGGAAGAATTTCAAAAATTATTATTAATTATAAAACCGAATATAGATACAGATATTCTATTTGGGAATATTCATATTTTTATTCCTATTATGAAGATAAATTATCAAAAAACAATTACATGAATGCGTAGCTAAAATAAATGACTTTCCATCTAATATTAACTCACCTTTTTAAAAAAATATGCAATTTTCTATTCCACATTCAAATGTGTCATCAGAGAGAATATTCAGTTTAATGACTACTGTTTAGAGAAAAGAACGTAATAGATTATAATTATCGTCATTGAAGCTGAACTTTAAATTTGTTATTGTCTAAAAATTTTGATTATAAACGAAAACTAACGTTTTCGAGTGAAAAATATCTGGAAGCGGTAATAATATTTTACTCTAAATGACAATAAAACTATGCGATTAAATAAAATATTTATAAATTAATTTTTTACTTGTAAATTATGTATGTGTATTTATATGGAGTAAAAATAAATAGATGGAAAAAAATTGTTATTTTGAGGCAATATTTCTTTATGTTCTCCAAACCCTTAATCCGGACCCTTTTTAAATATTTTATTCCTGAACCAAGACCCTTTTTTGTCGAAGGGTTCATTTCATATATAACAGTTTATCATAAATGATGATATATTAATATGCTATAATAATAGAAAAACGTTGCTTATAATATTTAATATCAATTTTAGTGGAACCTCTAAAATTATGTGTTTATCTGATTTTATAACATATGGGTTGAATGACGATTAGATTTAGAAAAATTAACTATTTTTTTATATGAAATATTGGAAAATATGAAAATTCTAGAGCAAAACTATTTGTAAAACAGTGCAGTATATGCCTCAATATATTTCGACCCTCGATATCAAGTTCTATTGAGCATTGAACAAAAATAACCCTAAAGTTCATCTTAAGAGATTTATGGCATATAACAAGCAACACTCCATTCTTAACAACATATTGGAGGCTACTACCACTGTCAGGTCACAGCGAAACATTATCGAGAAACACTTTATCACGTAACTTTTATCGCGAAGGAATTTTATAGCCAAGGTAATATCGTGAACCTAATTCCGAAAAACATTTATAGCGAAGACAATATTGCGAACTCATTATCGCAAAATCTTAACCGTGATTACTTTAGAGCGAAACCTTTATTGCGAACATTACTGCGAAATAAATATATTGCGAATGCATTTAATTAAAGAAAAACAACATATTCAACATTAATTTACATATAGAAGCCCCACCCCCCGCATTCATGCTAAGATATATGTTTTAAAATAAATTTTAAAAATTTGGTCTTCCTCATGATTTGATGGAAATGATTAACAAAACAGTCGAAAGATATTTTTTTGAGTCTTGTCGAGATATTATGTTATAATTTTTATCCCTTCCCTCCTTTCCCAAATTTACCCTAGAAAAAAAAATAGATGAGTAACAAAGTAAACATATCCTTTTATTAGCTTTCATTTGCTACCACCCATGTGGAAATATATGTTATAAATATTTTAACCTTCCCGTCCCCTCAACCAAACTTAAAACAAAGTGACTGTGACTATGAATTAAATATATATTCGCTTTCATTTAATACTCTTATGAAGATTAATTTCAAAGTAGGTTTTCACATCCCCCAACCCCCTATCAATGAGCTAGATCAAATAACCTAGATGGATAATAGCATATATTTTTATTCGCTTTCATTTCTTTCATTTGAATTGAATCAATCTTGTATCTATTTTTTTTTAAAAAAAATTATCAATATGATCATAAAAATAAATGTTTCAAAATAATATAACTATTAGCAATTATCGCGATATTGACCTCGCCATAATATCTTCGTGGTATATGTTTCACAAAATAGTTTTCGCGATTTAAAACTTCCGCGATAAAAGTATTGCTGTAATGTATTCGTTTTAAAGGATTCCCTATAAAAATTCGTGGTATTGTCTTTGCTGATGTAGTTTCGCGATAAAAGTTTCGCTGAATTGACATGGAACCACTTATTGGTTGTATTGACAATAATGATAATGCCGTTGATGACTTTAAAAATTCATTTTTAGATATAGAAAAAAATTAATATCAGTAAAAAGGAGGACAACAAATTCCTATAAATCTTTAAAAGTTTTCGCAGGTTAAGAGAATAAATTAAGGATGCAAATATTTTAAAATTCTAAAATATATCCAGAAACCTTTCTAGAATAGTCATGGATGCACTAGCGATAAAAAGTACAATAATTAATAATGTATTATATAAATAGCTATTTATTTTATAGGCCAGCGTTAGAAAGGTGCAATTTCTTCTTTGAAATACTTATTGTCAGATTTGTGTGGAAATCTTTAAGATGATATTTTAGAAGATATTATTGAGGAACAAAATAACATATTTAAAATATAAATGAATTTTTTAGAACTTGTAAATTATGTATGTGCATTTATATGGAGTATAAAAACAAATAAATATTTTAAAAAAATTTTGAGTCAATATTTCTTTATATTCTCCAAACTCAAACCCTGGACAAGAACCCTTTTTCAAATTTTATTCCTGACGTCGGACCATTTTTTTGTCGAAGGGTTCACATTCCTGAAATAAAGAATTTGGAATATAAATTATTTAGATGTATTTATTTGATTTTAATGGAATTAAATGACTCGAATTTAGACCTAAAACGAATTACAATTATTCGATTCGAATAAAGAAAATAATTATTCGACGAATAATCTTTCATCTGTTATTCGATCGAATTATTCGATTCGATTAGAATTTTTGTAGGTCTAAATATTGGAAAATAATATATTATTTGAAGGAATTATTTAAAATATTTTTATTTAATAAAATTTCCTAGTGGAAAAAGAAGCATTTTATATTTCTAAAATTGTAACAGCTGTTTTTATTCAAATTTACTTCCAAAAATTTTTTATGAATTTGAATATGATGGAGATGGACCAAGAAAGTATGTGAAAGTTGTCTTTCTGGCCAGTCAAAGCTTAGTATGTATTGACTGGCTATTTAACTGGCCATAATATATTTAAGAATTTTATTATAAATATGAAATACTTCCAAAAGGCCTATCTTATATATTCCTTCATTTTTTAGGTATATAAATATTTAATTATATACAAAATTCTTAAAAAAATTTAATGTCTAATTTAGTTTATTTAGTTTCATAAATTTATAAATTGCCGTGATTTAATTATTAAAATAATCATTTTAACATATATGATGATAATTAAGATAATAAATTAAATTAGTTTATAATTAAATTTTTATTACCTAAATATGAAAAAATAGGCCTTTTACAAATATTTCTAAATGTAATATTTCATATTTATTATAAAATTCTTAAAAAAAATTAATGTCTAATTTAGTTTATTTAGCTTCATAAATTTATAAATTGCTGTGATTTAATTATTAAAATAATCATTTTAACATATAAGATAATAATTTATAAAATCATTAAATATATAGTGATTAATTTTATATTGAAATAAGAATGTTTAACAAAAGGATAATTAAGAAATTAATTTATAAAATATTAACAAAATGGATGATGAAAAATTAAGATGTTAATACTAATTAAATTAGTTTATAATTAAATTTTTATCACCTAAATATGAAAAAATAAATCTTTTACAAATATTTCTAAATGTAATATTTCACATTTATTATAAAATTCTAAAAATTTAATGTCTAATTTAGTTTATTTAGCTTCATAAATTTATAAATTGCTATGATTTAATTATTAAAATAATCATTTTAACATATAAGATAATTAAGATAATAATTTATAAAATCTTTAAATATATAGTGATTAATTTTATATTGAAATAAGAATGTTTAACAAAAGGATAATTAAGATATTAATTTATAAAATATTAACAAAATGAATGATGAAAAATTTAGATGTTAATACTAATTAAATTAGTTTATAATTAAATTTTTATTACATAAATATAAAAAAAGAGGTCTTTTACAAATATTTCTAAAAGTAATATTTCATATATAAAATTCTAAAAATTTAATGTCTAATTTAGTTTATTTAGTTTCATAAATTTATAATTTGCTGTGATTTAATTATTAAAATAATCATTTTAACATATATGATAATTAAGATAATAATTTTTAAAATCATTACATATATAGTTATTAATTTTATATTGAAATAAAAATATTTTACAAAAAGATAATTATGATATTAATTTATAAAATATTATCATTAAATGGATGATGATAAATTTAGACATTAATATTAAATTAGTTTATAATTAAATTTTTATTACCTAAATATGAAAAAATTGGTCTTTTACAAATATTTCTAAATGTAATATTTTATATTTATATAAAATTCTTAAAAATATTAAATGTCAAATTTAGTTTATTTAGCTTCATAAATTTATAAATTGCTGTGATTTAATTAATAAAATAATCATTTTAACATATAAGATAATTAAGATAATAATTTATAAAAACATAAAATATATAGTGATTATTTTATATTGAAATAGGAATGTTTAACAAAAGGATAATTAAGATATTAATTTATATAATATTAACAAAATGGATGATGAAAAAATATTATATTTAGAAAATATTTTATAAAAGACCTATTTTTTCATATTTAGGTAATAAAAATTTAATTATAAACTAATGTAATTAGTATTATACATCTAAATTTATCATCATCCATTTAATGTTAAGATTTTATAAATTAACATCTTAATTATTTTGTTAAACATTCTTATTTTCTTTGGCCATGCTATAAATTTTATAATAATATTTAATGTAGGAAATTCTTATTGCCCATATCAAATAATCTAAAACTTTAATATGAATCAAAATTCACTAAAATTTATATTATCTATATAATATTATATTCTTGTTTCTTTTCCCAATAAAATTTTTTAAAAACTATCATCTACATTTCGGTATAATTTATAAATTTTAAGAGCATTAAAAAATATTTTATAAGTGACTCTATAAACTTTGAAGCATAGTTTAAAATATTTTATATTATTTATGTACAACAATCAAGCTTTAATTTATTCTATTACACATAAAATTCTAAATAAAATTCTGATATAATTATAAGATGATGATTTTACATAAATTTTACTGACTAACCTATTGCCCTTTTGGCCATGCTATAAATTTTATAATAATATTTAATTTATTAAATAGATGTTCAACACAGTGGTATAATTGATATTTCTGAATCAGAAAGCTTTGGAGAACAAAGTGAATGTTCATTCACATCAAATTCTATATAGTCTGGAGGAGGACACAAAAATGCAGATATATGGAAACATTATATTTACCAATCATTGACAGAAACTGCTAGATAAAAAAACTGCTTCAGCTTTAATTAATCATAACAAACGATTCCATCAAAAGACCTATAATAATAAATTTATTGGGTCATATTTTAATAATGATTCAAATAATAATCATATGTACAACAATAATGATATCAAACATTATTTATTAAAATTTTTGATCAAATCTAATATCCCATTTAAAATTCTTGCAACAAATGAATTTAAATGTTTTGTTAATGCATTAAATCCTAACATTAAAATATGTTCAATTCCTACAATGAAGCAATACATAAATGAATCTGTTGATAATGAATTCAAAAAAATTAAATTAATGATAAGCTATTCAAATACTCAAATAAATTTTACAATAGATATTTGGTAAAGTACAACAAATGTCCCATTCTTAGGGTTAACCTGCCATTACATTGATGATGAATGGGTACTAAAATCTATATTATTAGACATTGTTCCATTTACAAATTCCCATTTTGGGGAAAACATTTTATAGAATCATTAATAATTATAACATAGATATTAAGTCAGCAGCTATTACATGTGACAATGCCACATCAAACACTAACTTTATAAATACCCTCAATTAAACCCAGATCAAAAATTGCACATATTCGTTGTTTTGCACTGTTTTAAATCTTGTTGTTCAAGAAATAATAAAACAAATAGATGAACAATTAATGAAATTAAGACACATTATAAGAAGCATCCGAAATTCTTTTAAGAAAATTACTATGATATAAGAATTTTGTAATTCTCAAAATCCATCTATTAAATATAATATTAAAATTAGATACACCTATCAGGTGAAATAGCTCATATTTTATGATTGAAAATAACAATGAAAAAAGCCATTCATGTTGTTATTAATAGTTATGATGTATCTATTATTGAAGAGAAACAACTAAGTGAAGTATTTATCTATATTTAAATGCTAATTTTTATTTGTTAATGTAGGATGAATGGGTCACGTCAGAAAGAATACATGCAAACTTGAAAACATTTTATGATTTTACTGTTGCTATATCAGGGGACTCCTTTTCTACCCTTAATTTGGTCATTCCTTTTTATATTTCATTAATTGAGCACCCAAGTCTCTCTTATAAACGCAATTTATGCTCAACAAAAAATTATATCTTATTATAATTTAACAAATTTAGAAACCCTTATATCTGCTCTATTAGATCCTAGACTTAAATTAGAGTTTTTTGAATGCCTACCTCCTTCTTATAATATCAACATTTCAATTATATTAAATAATTTTAATAAAATGTTTGATAATTATAAAGTAAAATATGATGTATCAGTCAGTCAACCTTTAATACAATCAAATATGGATGTAATTTTTAAACAGAATGCCGTACCAATTTCCGAAGTTGAAACTTATTTAAAAGAAGCGAGAATCACATCAAATAAATCCCACTAGAATGGTGGAAACTACATGGAGATCGTTTTCCCGTTTTATCTAAAATGGCAGAGACATATTATCTATACCAGGATCTTCTACCCCATGTGAGCGGCTCTTTTCTGTTGGAGCGCATCATTAAAAGAGGATACAATCCTAAAAACTTTGTGTTTAAAAAATTGGTTGTTATCAGATTTTTCTTAATATATTGATTTTTCTGCATTATATATTATATATGTTTCTATTTTATCTTACTAATAAAATTTGTTTATCTTCCTTCGAAATTTTATAAAAAAAATTTAATTTCAATCTTTTTTATTTATGGTTAAATAAAATTTTCGAATCGAATAATTATTTTAATAATGCAATTATTCGATTCGAATTTTTATAGGTTTACTCGAGTTCAAGATAAAAATTAAGGTTATCACCAAAAATTAGCTATGCGAGTCTTCCCACATTATTAATTTTACTTATTTGTTATTTCTAAAAAATAACTAATAACATGTTTTTTAGATTAAATATATATAATTACTTCATAAGCAAAAATCAAAACAAACATATTTGTAATTTTTTTTATAAAGTAGACCAAAAAGTTTATGAGCTACTTTTTTTAAAGTTAACGCGCTATTTCTTTTTGACAAGAAACGATAGCGCGTTACCTTAAAAAGCAGACATGCTGTTCCTAGATATAGGGTTTTAAGAGTTAGTGTTATTAGAAGTCGATGAAGTATACAAGAAATAAAAGAATTATTAAAATATGGGAGTTTTGTATTATAAACTTTACTTTTATTATTTTTTTAATAAAAATTATATATCGAATTATAAATAGTTTATAATTAGTCGGCATTTAAATTAAATGAAGTATTGGTATTCAAAAATGTGTGTTGTTAGATTTATATATAGATTAAAATAAATTAAGCATAAAGGAATTCTTATACCACCGGCCACAATGTAATATATATTAGAAATCTGCAGGCCAGGTCTTGAGGCCGGGTACACGGGCAGGGCATATTTTAATTTTTTTAAAAAATACCCAGGCAGGGTCTACAACCAAATATTTTAAATCGCCATTATTTGCTATAAAAATTAAAAATATCCAGGCCAGGTGGTGCAACTGGTACCTCTGCAGGTCTCTGATATATATAATGAATGACAAAATTTTTGTGATTTGATTAAAAGTTATTATAATTAGTGAATAATTTAGAAACTATTCTACTTTTCTTTTATAAACTAGTTAAGTATTTCAAACGATAAATATAAATAGTTTTGAAATGAAAACGAGAAGTGAATGAATGTGATAGATACAATTTTTAATATATTTATTTATTATGATAATTCAAGTTTTGAAATATTTGGCCCGGATTTTTTTTAATTTTTGGCCTTGCCCGTGTTTATAGATAATATTTTTTAGGCCTGGCCAGGGCTTTATTTTTTTAAAAAAATAAACAGATTTGAGCCTGCAGGTCTCTGATAAAAATGATTAGTAAATATTTCTCACTTGCTGATATTTTTAAAAGCTATCGTATTTTTCAGATTCATTTTATATGTGATAATTAATCTGGTAAAAAATGGTAGAAACTATAATATGAATATTTATCAGGCGACGGGCCGGGCCTATTTTATTGATGAAGTTAGCCAGCCTTATCTATAGGCTGGGCTAACGAGCTGGCTCTGTAAGACTCTATTGTATATAAATATAGATAAATAACCTTTCACAAAATATATCACGTAAAACAATTTTTTTTATAAAATTTCCTACCTTGGGGTTAGACTTCAAAGCATCATCAACCTTTTGTAAATCGGTTGCATCAATGAATGTTGTAGATATTCTAAATTTTGTAGCAACTTTGTCTAAATATCTAAAAGTCCCTAAAATTTTAAATAAATATCTAAATATTAAAACTAGAATTATTACTAAAATGTTGAACAAATATCTAAATATAAAAACTACAATTATTAACTTAATTAATCAAATTAGTAGGCCATTTCATGACAAAAAAACTTGATTTTCCGTATTATTATACCAGTCCGATTATTTATCTTTTTAAATATATCGGTTATCTAAGATATTGAATTTTCCAATTTGATCCGATAAAATGGCGTCTTAATTTTAAAAAACTTATAATTAATTTTTAGAAAATATATTTATGTACAAAACATTCTTATATAATTGAATGGGAATGCATTTATTACCTAAATAATTGGAAATAATGTTAAAAAATAATAATACCAAACTTAATTAAATAATTATTCAAATGTTTCATGTTTTACCCATTTTTTACAATTATTCGTAATTGTTATTCTCAGCGTCTAGATGAGAGAAAGAAATAGGAAGCAGCGTGCCTACAATAACCCCCCCCCCCCTCAAACAATTTTTTACTCTCTACTAGAGCCCTAAAAATTCAATTCCTTTGTCGGGTTGTATAAAAAATTTAAGCCCGAATCAGGCTTAGCCTGATATATTTTTATTAAGGATCCGAGCCCGGTTTGGAATTTTTAATTAAATAAAATATTAAACGCATTTTTATCAGAAAAGTTCAAGGTCTGGACCACGGTTAAATAAAAAGACCGTTCTAGAATATGTCTTTTAATTTTTTTTATTTTAAAAATATTTTTGTTTTTACAAAAGTATTTATGCTAACAATATCAAATCAAATATAAATAATATAATATAATAAATAATAGAAAAATATTTAATTTAAAAGTAGAATGCTTGTTTGTAGTGATGTTAAGGTAATTAGTTACATTTTGGCTAAAAAATAACTGTAACTAGTTATATTTTTAAAATTGTAAATAGTTATAATTTTTGAAATTTGACTGCCAAAAGTAACTAGTTACTTTTAAAGATATATTCAAATAATTAATTTTATTTTTAATATGTTGTGATAAATTAATTTTAAATTAAATTTATTTTTTAAATTAAATTTATTAATTTAAAATTTTGTGAAAATATCTGATTGTTATAATTTCCCGTTCAAATTTACCTTAATACCTCAAAGTGAATCCCAGACGAATGAATCATGCTCAAAACCAACATCACTTGATGTAGTTGGATTTTTTGACCTAAAGCGCCAAAATATTCTGGATAATGAACTTATAGAAAACTTTATCAAATCTAATAACAACACTTTTTCTTTATATAACGATTTTCCAAAGTTAAAATTACTCTTTATTAAATATAATGTTGTTCTAACATCAAGTGCTCCACTAGAGCGCTTGTTCAGTCTAGGTAAGCTCCTTTTTGGAGATAAACGAGCACGTCTCCTATAAATAACTTTGAAATTAATTTGTTGTTAAAAGCAAATAAACATTTATTAGATTATAATTTTTATGAAAAATAAATGTTTTTTTTTCAATGCAAATATATATTTTTATATTCGATGTAAATATTCAATTTAGCGATATTTTTTTATATAAATAAATTGTATATAATTTTAAATAACTGATTATACTTTGTTTATCCTAATTTTTTTTATATTAAATAAATGCATTCAATAAATAAATAATGCGCATATGAATGATGTATAAATTAAGTAACTAATTACTTTTGAAAATAACTGTAACTAATAACTAGTTACTTTTGTAAAAATGTAACTAGTAACTGTAACTAGTTATGTTTTTGCCAATGTAACTAGTAACTGTAACTAGTTATGTTTTTGCCAATGTAACTAGTAACTGTAACTAGTTATGTTTCAAAAGTAACTTTTAACATCACTACTTTTTTGACAAACTTTTCGTTTTCATAATATATTTGCAAAAATGAACTGAAAAATAAAAATTCACAAAAACCTATAGAAAAGTAATATAAAATAACATATACACAAAAATTATATAAATTGAATAGCAAGGTAAACTAATATTAATAAAAGATCGATCCGGATTGAAAAATAATTAAAAGACCAGTTCGGATTGCGGTCCTCTAAAAAACGATTTAGCCTAATCAAAACTTCAACGCCTCTCTGCAATGACATTTTAAACTAGAAGGTAGCCTATCAAATGAGAAATTTACATTTTACTTGATGAAGGATGAACAAAAAATTTTCTTTATTTTTAGGATTTATCTAATTATAATCATAAAGTCATTTGATCGTAAAGATTGTCCACTTTTCTGATTGGCTTATTTTAGCATGGAAATATAAGTTTAAATTTTTTTTTTATTTACAGTTATTTATTAAAATGAAAAAGGTATCAAACAAGATACTAACTTAAGAATATAATCCTAAGTAAAAGTCATTTAAAAATAAATATAATTATTGTAACTTTTTCTAAAATTTAAGTGGCACGCTTTTACCTGGTCAGAAAATTGAACTTATTCAAGAATGAACATAAGATTCATGGGTATATCCATAAGGAAGATTAGAAAAAAACTAATGGTACAAAATTTATCAGTGGCGTAGCAATTTTTCACTAGGGAGCTTTATCACCAGAATTTACTGCTGCTTAACTTCATTCTATATTTTAAATAAAGCAGAGGGGTGACTAATCAAGGTGAAAATAAATATTTAAAATTCAATCTCTAAAAATGATAAAACTGCTCTTGATTCTCTCCATAATGGTTTTGACCATATTCCAAATCAATGATTTAACAACCTCTACAAAATATTAAAGGACTCATCCAAGTTTGAAAATATAAATCATTCAAAATTCCAAAAATCAATGTATACTTTCAGAAAAGTATTGTAAAGCTACTACTAAATTATTATCATCTTAGTATTCCAAATCTTTCAGTTACTTATCAAATTCTAATTATTACAATGATATTCAAAACATCATATTCTAAGTATTACAATGATATTCAAAACATCAAATTTTAATAATGTGTATAATAATTATTGCCATTCAGCCTGACTCTTTATAAACAATACTGGGTTTTGTCAACTTTACAATCTATACTCACATACCCTCAAACTTCAATGTCAACAATTTGCAACATCTGTGCAAAACTAATTAAAGTGACAAAGGGTAATCTATTATACAAACATAGTTACAAAGGGTCAACATGTCCTTCCTCTCAAAAATCTCCAACCAATGAAATTTTAACAATACCCAAACCCTTATTCAATATTATTGAGCCTCATCCTCCCCCTATCAACACAGATTTTCTTGAAAGATTTTTTGAATGGAAAAAAAGACCCACTTTAACACATCTACCAAATAAATCTAGAAACCTAATTTCAAATTTTGTTATTAAACTTATCACAAAAGTTAATGATAACTTAAATTGCTTAAAATCATGGGAAGATTTATTAACCTTCTCTCATAAATGTCTTATACGTCCTGCTAACAAAGAGACCCCATTACATGAACAAATAAAATCGAACATTGATAATTTTGACAATATTCAAATGATTAACTACAATCATAATGTTAAAAAGCAAGTAGATGATATAACACACAAATGCAAAATTATATCAAATAAAATAGATCAAGGTGACATAGGTGGTGCAATTAAACTCATATCCTCAGATAACCATCTTTCTCCTATCAATGAAGAAACATTACAACTATTGAAACAACTACATCCTGAAGCTTCTACAGATAATCTACCCATCTCTCCAATCCACCAGACTGTAATTTTTACCAGTGATGAAATTGTCAATGCTATCAATTCTTTCAATAAAAACTCAGCAGGTGGTCTTGATGGTTTCAGACCCTCCTATTTTCAATACTTAATTAATCCAAAAAATCCTTCCCATAGTTCTGTCATCAAGGTTTTAACAACTTTTTGTAATAACATAATAAATAATGATATTCCAATACAAACTCACCAAATCCTTTTTGGTGCACGTCTAATTGCTTTATCTAAGCCAGATGGTGGTACCCGTCCTATTGCAGTAGGCTCCTTTTTCAGAAGATTAATAGCCAAAATCATAATTGAACACATCAAACATGATGCTGAACATATTAAATTCTTATCAACTAGGTTTTGGGATCAAGGGTGGCTGTGAAATAGCGGCTCATACATTAAGAATTTACTTAGAAAACCCACCACCTGATTCTGTAATATGTAAACTAGATTTTAAAAATGCCTTCAATAGCCTACATCGTACCTCATTTTTAAAATTCTTCTATGAAACATTTCCCTGTTATTCTAAATTTATTGAATCCTCATATGGTTTTCAGACGCCTTTGACATATGGATCTTATCAGATTTTATCCCAAGAGGGCATCCAACAAGGGGATCCATTAGGACCTCTTCTTTTTTGTTTTGGAATCCATCATCTCATCTACCAAATTAAACAAAATTTTAACCTAGATCTTAATCTATGGTATTTAGACGATGAGACCATATGTGGCCCTTCAGCTAATGTACTAAGCGCCTTAAAACACCTGGAAATCAATTCCCAAGCTATCGGCCTGGTACTCAACATAAATAAAACAGAATTATGTTTCTTAAACAATAAGCCACAAAAGTTGGAAGGCTACAAAATCATTGCTCCTGACAGCTTAACCTTACTTGGGTCCCCATTAGCTAATGCGACCAAATCGGAAGATTTTCTCAACAAGATTTTTAAAAGCTTTTACAGTATGGAGCACATTCTTAGTCTCCTACCAGCTCATCAATCTTTATTTTTAATTCGCAAATGCCTGTACATACCTAAATTTATGCATATTTTCCGATCATCATCTTTTTTCAAAAACAATGAATTCATATCTAAAATTCAGGATAAATTTAAAATATTTCTGGAAAAAATTTTAAACATAAATTTAAACTCATTCAATTGGTCACTTGCTCAGCTACCTTCTAAACTAGGAGGTTTAGATTTTTTTCCGCTCAATCTTTTATCCTTATCATCATTCGTATCATCTAGATTATCTAACAATTCTATTATTTCTGGCTTCATATGCCCTACCGATCGTTTATTAGACGACGCTATTGACAAATGGAAGGCAAACACACCCATTAACACCGTATTACCATCAATCATCACACACAAAAATTTTTTCACACCTTTAATCTCTAAATACCAGACAGATATATCAGTCAATCCACCTTTAGATTGCATTCAACTCCTTCAATTATCTGACAGACTTGGTGGTCATGAATGGTTAGAATCACTCCCTAGTCGCAACCTTGGTAATCTCTTATCAGATGAACAACTGAGAGTAACCATTGGTCTACGTCTAGGTTGCGATATAGTACAGCCTCATGCCTGCGTCAAATGCAAATCACCCGTTGATTCAAAGGGTAGACATGGCTTAAATTGCATTTTTAGTCAAGGGCGACATCAACGCCACTCAGCTGTAAACCATATAATAAATAGAAGCTTAACAGCTGCACACATTCCTAACAATCTCGAACCATCAAATTTATCTCAAGTAGATGGTTTAAGACCTGATGGTATGACAACCATACCTTGGGCCCTCGGCAAATCACTCATATGGGACTACACGTGTGTTTCATCATTCCCTTCAAACATAAATTTCAATTTAATAACACAGGCTGAAATTAAAAAGATAAACAAATACAAAAATTTTAAAAACTTATTATTCACTCCAGTTGTGACTTCTACTAACGGGCATTTTTCGCCTTCAACATTTTTGTTTTTAAAAAATCTTGCTAATAAAATACGACTTTTCACAAATGAACCAAGAGAATTCCTTTTTATTCGACAAAAAATTCAAATAGAAATTTTTAGACACAATTATGGTTCCTTTTTGGGGACTCAATTATAGAATTTTATTTTTAATTATATAATTATAATTTATAAATTATAATATTTTTAATTATATATATACAATAATTTTATGAAAAAATCTATTAATTTACATTATATTCATATATATTTCTAAATTACATTATTTGGAATAGGAAGAGATAGATTGACAATAGATTTATTTACTGAAGCACATGAGGATCATAATCAGGGTTGCAATGTCTCCCCCGTTTCCCACAATTTTTTCCACAACATGCACAGACTTTTCTCCTGCAATTGAAACCTCATGCATATATCTCCCGTAATTTTAAATTTTCTACCGCATTAAAATTTTCAGCATTTTAACGTTTTTAAATGATAAATAATATATGTTTTATAAATATATATTTTGTTGAAATAATTGTTATGAAATGTTTTAATAAATTCAGTTCATCTATTAAATGAGTGATTGAATTAAAGAGTTAGACAAGTGGTAAGTGGAATGATTTGAGTTGTTATGGCATATCTATTAGATGGTTAACACTAATACTAGCGATTGATAGAATTTTAAAATTTTATCATCCTATAAAAAAAATATTTTTTAAATAAAAATTACAAAAGTAGTCCTATTATTTTTAAAAAAATTTCAGAAATGATTTGGCGGAGGCATAATTTCAATATAGAGAGTTTACTACATCTTGTCATGCAGTTGCAATCTGAAAATTGTTTTATTAATAATGATTGACAAAATAATAGTATAATTTTTTTCCAGGTAAAAATAAAAAATAAATTTTATGGCTATATTGCTAAAAACAACAATTCAAATGGTGCAAATTTCACCCTAATTGATAGCCTTTTAAACGAGGCATATATCTTTATTAAAATAATTTTACAATATTTATAATCAAAATATGATTTTTCGAATCCTATTTATAAATGTATCAATGGAACAAAAACTATGAATTGCTGTATTTTACAATTTAATAAATAGGTTAAAAATACCGAATATTAATACCTAGTTTGTATTATTTTTATGATTCCAGAAAAATATATTGTTTTAAAGTAGAGGAAAATTGGTTGAATTTTTCTTAATAACAATAAATGCCCATGATTAGAAAAAAATATGCGAACATGTATACCTTACTCCACTTGGAGGCCTCAAAGAAAGAAGAGAAATCGGCTTGCTCTGTCAATATTATATTATTATAAATACAAACTATTTATTATTATATTTTTTTAATAATTTTATTAAAGTTATTAATACTATTCGCATAAAATCATCCATTTTTTACATAAATATTTTACATTGGAAAATAAAGATCGTTTAAAATTAGTATATTTTTATAGATTTATAAATAAAGATCTTATTTTATAAAATTTGGTCACGCCAATCAGAACAAAGGATTTACTTTTGTACAATAAATAAAGCAAATCCAGTGCAAAGAGGTATAAATTAAAAGTAAAATATTACCAATAAAAATATAATAAAGGGATACAGACTTTGTTAAAAACAATAAAGTAATAATTATGAGATTAAAAGAAAACGAATAAGCCATATTCCCTAACCCGGCTGAAGGCAAGCACTTCTAGGGCCTGCTAAAAAAAATATCCACAATTTGAAAATTTTGACATGGTAACTCTGATCATAGTATAGTAAGCAAGATATAGAGTTTTAATAGCTTTCAATTTTTTTAAATTTTCAATTCATCCTTTATTGAGATCTCTTTGTTTTAACCCCCCCCCCCTCCCCCCTATCTCAAGTCATAGACCCGAGAATGTAATGATTAATTTTAATAGCATTCAATTTTTTTATATTAGCTTTCACTTGGAGATGTTTTTAGTGTTTTACCCTCCCCTCCTTCCTATCTTATGATCAACAGAGGACTTAGAGTTGATTTTAATCGTGTTGCACCAAAATCAAGAAAATGTAAAAAAAATAAAGAAAATTCTCTAAAAATATTTGGCCAAAATCACGAAAATGTAGAAAAATAATATTGTAGATAAAAGCTTCCAGTTGGAATACAACATATAAATCTATATATATTTTTATAAATTTTAAAAAAATATTTTTAATTAATTTTAAAAATAATTATGGTTATATCAAAATATATATCAAATAAAAAATTAAAAAATTTTTTAAAAAAAAATGCCCGGGCCGGATATTTTAAAACCAAATATTTTAAATGGCCATTATTAGCTATAAATATTAAAAATAAATATAATATATTTTTAAAAAATACGGGCCGGGTCTGAAAATATAAAACAGTTTTAAGAAAAAAAGGTAAGAAAATAATTCTTAACTTATTCTGAGAAATTAAGGGGAAAAAAATCTGATCGGTTCAATTTATTCTGAGCTAAATAATAAGTCAAATATAATTCACAAGCGAATATTTCGAAATTACAAACCCTAAAAAAATCTAGAACATGAAATCCTTTAGGAATAAAAAATTGAAGTAAAGGAATAAATGAAGGTCTTTTTTTTTTAATTTCTTGACAATTACTTTAAAAACAAACTAGATTTTTAAAATTTTACCTTGTGAGAGTAATGACAAAGTATAATTTATTGTTTAAACTTTGAAATCTTTTGCAATTTGAGTTTTATTTATTTATTAGAAATTAATTATTTAGATTAACTCCTTATTCATTAAAATTTTCCGTTAATAAGATTATTATAAAATTTTCAATTTGGTCGAAATATGAATAAAATTTTCAATTTGGTCTAAATATGAATAAATTTTTTATTTTGGTCCATATATGAATAATTTAATTCATATTATATTAACTAAATATATTCATTACCTCCATAAACATCGTCAACACATAAAATATGATCTCCTGATTTCAGTAAAGATATAATATTATTTAAGGCTGATAATCCAGAGGAATATGTGAGAGCTAATCTTTAATATATTAAATATAAAATTACATAAATTACCAAATTTTGCATCTTCTAAAGATGCAAGGCATGTCTCCAGAACCTCTCTACTTGGATTCCCACTTCGTGAATAATCATATTTCTAAAAAAAAATTTATATCAAAAATTTTTGTTAAATATTGTTTAGAATAAATGTTGTTGAAATAACTATTAAAAGTAACACGCAATATTTTTTAAAGTAAAGATGGGTAGTGACCAGGTTACCAGGTCAAATTTTCAAATTGCAGGGAAATTTGGTATTTTGCGGGTTATGAAAATTGCGGTAGAAATATAAAATTGCTAAAAAAATTTATCCCCCTAGTAATTATTATAATTACTTTATATAAATATTAACAAAGTCGGTAAAGTATTCTAATTTCAAAATAGGTAATATTTTTCAAAATAACTTCTTTGTAGTGGATTTACTTTATTTATATTATATATAAAAGAAAATAATTTGAATCTCCTCAAACAAGACCTCAATGTATATCGGTATTTTTAACATATTTATTATATTACAAAAACCAACACAATTGATGGTTTTTGTTATAAGGTCATAATATCTATACATTTATAAATCGAGTTATTGAAATCAAATTTTGATTGAAAATATTCTAAAATAAAAAATTTGCTTCATTTAAAAATATATTAGAGTAATATTTGAACATTTTAATATGATATTTTCAGCAATAGCGTCCTAAAATTTATTGTCAATTTTAAACTGTAAAGATGAACACATACAGCATAATTTTGTGAGTCTTTATTAAAAAAGATTCTTCTGATTGCAACTGCATATTAACAACATGTAGTGGATTTCCTACATGTGAAATTATTCCTAAATATGCCTCTGCCTTCTCGAAAAAATTTTCAAAATATTAGGACAGATTTATAATCTTTATCTAAGAAATATTTTTTTAAAGGTTCGTAAAATTTTAAATTCTATCGATGGCAGGTATTAATGATAACCACCTGATAGGAACTTGTCGCAACAACTCATACTATTCCAAGTCACACCACTCCACCAACTCTTTTAATTCATTAACTCTTTTGGTTGATGAACTACGTTAAAATATTTCATTACAATTATTTCGACATCCACGATAATACATTCACTACCTTCTTGCAAGAATTATGTAGTATATGGCATATACAGCCAATTAATATTAAGTCAACATTGTGCTCAATTCTGTAAATACACTTTGGGTTTTGACAAAATTCACTGAGGAATTATCAGCGCAGAAAGCTGACATGCAACTCATTGAAAATATCTGCTATATTTACCATTATATGGTTAGCTATGTCTTAAGATTTTTCACTATATCTGAAAAAAAAATTTAATAGTTTTATTGAAGCGCCTTTAATTTTGTTGAAATAGATGAGGATCGAAATGTTATAATATTTCCCTTTATAGATGCATCTGTTAGAATTGCATATGGATGTCCATCTTTCAAATGGTCAAGAATTGACCTCCTGGATTCAGGTCTTAAAACAATGGTGATAGCCTTGCTCATTTTTGTTCTACAAGTAAAGTTTTCACTTATCTTGGAGTCGTTAAATATTATAAAGGAAAGATTCGACCCACATTGTGATGATATATAGCTCTGTGAATGTTGAACTACATGTAGGTGATATCCGCAACTGTAGTTGCATATGTATTATTTCTTATTTTTGGAGCATATTTTTGTATTGCTGATTATAATAATAATGTGATTGAACGATAATAAATAAAATAATTATCAATGAAATAGGTACAACATTAACTTATTATGTATTTAAACGTGATACATGATAATTAAGCGCCTAGTCCTATAATGTTATACACAATGGAGAATCGCAGGGGCTGTCCGTAGCCCGACCCGACATTAAATATATTTTTCGGATTCGTATGGGTTGTAGCTGTCCGATCCGAAAAAATATTAATATAAATATTCTTAATAATCATTATAATTTATGTCAATTATAAAACCATATCATTTTCTATTTATCACATTTTATCCTTAAAATTTCAATAAGAATAACATGTCATTTTTAAATATTATTTTATAATTTACATAACAACCATATACCAAACTATTTTATGTAATTATATTTTAGTATATTGCATTGAATAGTTAACGATATTTATCATAGACAACGCTTACGTCCCTTTTTCATTTTTGTTTCCCTGCGTCACACCATCTCCGTTCTTTTTTTTAATAGTATTATTATATATTTTTCAAACATTTTTAAATATATTAAAATTTATTATAATGAAAATTTAAATTATTATACCTTATATTGATAATAAACTATATAATAAACATTTAATTTTTTTCTTTTGATCTTTTATTATGTAAATAAAATATACATTAAAAAATTATAATTTCCTTCCTTATTCATTAAATTTTGAAGCTTTCGATGGAAACTATTTCTCCATCAATTATTGATAAAATAGATAAAAATATATATTACATACTTTATTTTCATCATATTCTATCAAGTTAAAAAAAATATATTTTACTAATATCTATTCAATCAAATAGCCTCATATTTTCATATTAAAAAAATTATTTCAATGGATGCCAAATTAAAAAAATGTGAAAAGATTAAGAGCAATGAATATGAAGTAAGGGAAAATGCTAATTGCAAATCTGAGGTCAACAAAAAGTTTTTATTTATATATGAGGAAAACTGCATTTTTTATTAAATTATTTTAGGCAAAAATCAACTAGAAAGGCACAAATGAGCATTTATAATAGGGAGTAAAAAGAGTCAATTAACAATTAGCCTTTACTGATTCCAAAAAATTTAAAAGTTGTGCTAAATTATAAAAAAGAGTGTACAAAAGTGCTCACCATGTTTTGTGGACGTGATTTGAGATATTTGATGCAATTCATGGGGAAAGTTTTGTTGATTGTTGCCAATATTTTGCCAAAATTGGCTCAATATATGGAAATATTAATGTTAAAAGCATCATTCCATTCCCACGACAATTTCTAGAAATTTAATAGATATTGCTGATGGTATACGCAATATATTATTTCCGAAATATAATGCTTATATGAAAAGGATCGATGTGCTGATAACAAATATAAAAATATGATTAAATTATTTGTAAGATTCGATTGTATTTTAACTTTTTTATAATATTTTTTACAAATTAAATAAAATGCAACAATATATATCTTGATTAGATTACGGCCGTCAAATAAACTTTTATTTAAGGTGGCGATGAATAAATACACATAATTTTTTTTAGTTATTATAATAGTCAAACTCAATTATAAAATTTTATTCGGGTCGGGTTGGACTAAATATGTGTGCTCGGGCTCGGGTCGGGCTGGGAAAAAGTTTTTTAAATTAGGGCTCGGGTCGGGCTGCGAAAAATTACTTTGCAGACCTCTAATACACACAAAGACACATGAAAATGATAAAATATGAATGAATGATGTTGATTTATTATTGGATAAAAAAAACATGTGATTAAAGCGAGGATAGAAAGGATGAGATTTCAAACTTGACATGTTTTTTGAATAAATATTTAAAAATTTTTAAAAATATAAAATTAATCAATTACTGTTTCTCAAAATTATTATTTATATATTAAACGTTAAAATGTTTAAAAAAAATTGTGCGGGAAAAATTTAAAAATTGCGGTAAATTTATAATTGCGATAGTGAGATATCTGCGTGTAAACTAAAAAAATGCGGAAGTCTCCCGCTGACGGGCGAGACCTGGCAACCCTAGTAGTGACGCCATTTTTATAAAAGAATTAGCTAATTAATAGCGCCGCTACTTTTTTTCGAGAGCTATAGCTAAAAATTAGCTACTATAAAAAAATCAATTCATATCATAAGAATGATGATTATAATTGATATATAATTTTTTTTAAAAAAAACTTTAATTTTATAAGGGGGGGGGGGGCAATGAATTTAAAAAAAAAGAAGGTTTCCATTTGGATCGGAGAAAACCAGGGAACACAGAAATTTGGGCCAATTGTAAAATTTTATGGATCTTTAAAAAAATTAAATTTATTCAAATCCTTTTACCTCTTGCTATATATATTTGAATTTTAAATCGAAATGATAACATCTTATTCGTATTGATAAATATTAGTGCTGTAAAGTAACATCGTTACTATGACATTACATTTTTTGAGGAAATGAAACACCCTTCGTTACTTGTTTCAAAAGGTAATGAGTAACACGCTTCTTTTTTTTGAGTAACGGTAACACAAAATGTTACTATTTAATTTAATTTATTTGAAAAAATATTTTTTATTTTATTAAATTTTATTGAAGCCGAGTTTTTAATCCAGATCAACTATCAAATCTGCATTTTTTAAAATATTTATTACACATTTGTTGTCGAATTCTATATAGTAAAGATTGTTAATCTAATTAATATTATATTAATCAAATTATAAACAAAACTGCTGACAACAAATCTTTATACTAGGAGATAAAGCTTTAATCATAATAATAAATGATGGATTATCAACCAAAGACATTGACTGAACTGTATCAATTATAAACAGACAATGATTTTATCAATCAGTTTCTCCGAAGCATTTGAACGTGTAATATTACTCAATGTGGTTTGAATTATGTTTTTGCATTAAGTTGAAAATATTTTTCAAATTTTGGAAAAGGAAAATTAATATTATTGTTATTATCTTCTTCCAGTATAATTTGGTTAATATTATCTATGTATGACTAACTTATATCTATATCCATTTTAAATATTTTACACCAATTAGTTTGGATTTAATACAAATTTCATAAATATAAACTACAATATTAAATAGTAAAAAATAAATTTTAATTATGAAATTATGTATTAATTTTCGTTCAGTTATATTTATTATATTTTTAAAAGTAGCACGCTAACATGGCTATTTGGAACAAAAACAACTTTGCATGGAGCTATCTGAGTTCATAGTTCATACCAGTTTTTTTAAGTTTGTTGTACTATTCAATTAATAAAATAATTTTAGTTTTTGTAATTTTTAGTTTATTTTTATTTTGCAATATGAAAACCATAAGTTTATCAAAGAAACATTTACTTATAGTCCCAAAACACAGAGTATGTGTTCACTATAGTACCAAATTTAATTTATCATCAGCAACAAGTAACAACAATTGTTTGATTTTTTGAGCAGTAAATTTATCAAAAATAGGCAGTATTTCTATTATCAAAAAATTAATCTTTTTGCCATTTTTTATAGTTTTATTTTATTTTTCTATAATCCAATGCTGGATTTTTTGGTTTTCAGTAGAGGCGGACTTGTGATGCTGCGGCCTCATGGGCAAATATTTTCTAGCGGCTTCATTTCCAGCTTTTACCCGACCTTCGGCCAAGGACCCTTTAATGTCTATATTATATATTTTTGGACATAGATGTCTAAAACGATGGGTTAAACACAATATTTATCAATTTATATTAAAAAAACTCAAATGAAATGATAATCCCATATTTTATTTTAAGTTGCATATATATAAAATCATACTAATTGCAAATATAAAATTATTAATTATTGTACTATAAAATCTACATACAATACATCATATTGCACCGAGTATAAAACTTATTTTGTTTATATATAAAATCAGACATATTGCAAATATAGTTTGTCAAATAGAATTAAAATATAAAAATTATACGAATATTGTATAATTTTTAAGCTAATAAATCTCGCATAAACTCTCAACTTTGGCGCAAATAAACACATATTAAAGTTCGATTTACATCAATAATTCTTTTTCAACGGGCATTAAAAAAAAATACCTTCAATTAATCGTGTCCCATCATATTCTTCCTCAGCCCATTTTATATAATTTTAAATTTACTACATGTTCTTTCACAATTTTCTAATATATTGGTAAAAATAGATTAATGTATGCAGCTGTGTGGAGAGTAGGGCAGATTTACAATAGCATTACGTTACATAACATATCTCCCATTTTAAAAATATAACGAAGAGGTTCTATAACGATTATATTTTATTTATTTGTGCAACATAAAGTAACGTATGTTTTTCGTTACTTTTAATATATTTTTACGATTTTTTTCAAATCTTTTCATTATGGGATTTAGTATATATTGTTTTTCTTAATTTTCGTAAAGAATGAGAGCCATTGAAAAAGTGATTATTTGAGCATAGGAGGACAATGATAATATTTTGGTTAAAGCGAATTTTGTACTATAGATTGTGAAAAACAGATTATTCAGAGCTTCATTTAAAACCATTATCACTTTTTTTTATTTAACATTATATTAATTTACAAGATAGAACTGATAAATGGATTTTTTTTTATTTCCACAGTTTGTAGTACAAGGATAACTTGAAATCCTATCTCTCGATCTATTATTTGTAATAAATATACAGCACAAAATATCCAATAATATAAATATTTATTCATTACAATATATATTTACCAATCTCCTAGAGCTTTTATTTTGATTTGCAAATTCGAAAGATCAAACAGGAGATAACAATAATTTTATTTTGTCGAATGAATGCTTTAAATAGATGATTTTTATTAAATTAGACAATAAAATAGTAATAAATTAGTTTTTGCTTTTTTATTATACTGTTTTTTTAGACTTTTTAGAAAAATAAATCAATAAAATTCTTTATCACATTTTTCTATTATCATTTATTTTCAATTATGTAACGCAGAACTTTTTTGTATTTGTTACATGTTTTAAATAAAGATAGCATAACCGTTAGCTTTTTTTGAAGTGTTGATGGTAACTTAGCAGTTATATTTCATAGCGATAACCGTTAACCGCTATTAAGTATCATGCATAACTCTGGTTGTGTACATATCATAGCATCGAAGAGACTCATAGATACATATTAAGGATTGATTACTTTGGAGTTACTATTATTGTCATGTAATATTTCAACATTTATTATACTCCTCACTATCACAATTTAAAATCAATATTTTAATTAACTTGTTAAATCTTTATAAATACGGGCAAATGAAGACAAATTCATGTCGTAATTTGTCCTTGATTTTCTAATTATGAAACCTTCTACAAAGTCAGAAATATCTAAGATATTTATTTCATCAAATTCTTAGGATATAAATATTGCACATTTGTTTATGCTCTTTATCCACAGAAAATCTTATGTTGTTAAATTAAACTATTTTTGTAAGACGAATTGCTTAAAAATATAGAGATTAATAGGATGTTCAAGCGTTCATCTTTGCATTCATCACCACACATTTGTTAGACTTAGAGTTTTTAGCATATTATTTTGTATCTAAATGTTAGCTGGTAACTTATAATCATTTTCTTTTAAATTTGTATATTTTATAGCTTTATTTAGGAATGAGGTGAAAGTTATAAAGATAAGGAGTGAAAGTTATAAAGATAAGGAATACATAGCATCTTCAATCATTTTTCAAGCTTCAAAACCGATTTAACCTTTTAAATTTTCTCAGATTCTCAATTAAAGATTTAGCTATTGATATGGCCTGGTTCTTGCCTTATAGAGATCGGGAATAAGCTCTCTTCATCATATAACTATCTAAGGTCTTTTTCACGTGCCCATCACCTTGTTTCACCTATTTTTTTTAGACTTAGCAACCTCCTTTAGTCAGTGCCAAGATCAACTGCTTTTGTGTACTATATATTTTCAAACTAATAGTTTGCTACTTATATCTTTTTTTTAAATATTAAATTCCAATTTTATCCAGAACAACATTAATAACTTATTCACGGTTGTGTCTTTGACATAAAATTATTAGAGAACTTCTTTAGATTTTGATTTATCGAGAAGTTTCAGCTTTCCTTTTTCACTTTTACTCCTGAAAATAGCCTTTTCTAAATGGTGTCAAGTATTTTATCATTTTCTGATATGATCTGTATCATCTCAAGGAAATTCTATGATTTAAATTTTCAATTTCAAAATTGATAAGTGTTTCATTGTGGTTGGATTCTATGTAGGATTTGTTTACCTATTATCTCAAATATACACATTGTTACATGGATATTATTTTAAACTTAAATAAGGTTTCACTAAGTCTGTTTAAAAGCCAATTAATATAAAAATGTAATTTTCACATAGCTGCATTTTCGATATTGTAACTGAGATAATTCATTTGCAATAAAGCATTTCATGATAACGCTTTCGCGGTGATACATTTGCGCTAATGAATTTGCTTTAAGATATTCACAAAAACAAGGTATTAATTCCATGATATTATTTTCACTAAAATGCATTCGCATAAATAACTTTTCGCCGCGGTAATGCATTTCTCGCTAAAATATTCGCGGTATTGACATGTAACAGGGCTATATCATGTTAAAGTGAGGGGGATTAGTGTAAAAATTCTTTCTACAAAATATTTCTACAAGACTATCAGATGAAAAATAATAAAAAGAAAATTTATCCTTTTTTGAGAGGATTATAAAATTGTAATGAGTATATCTAAATAAGAGTAACACGAATTTAGTATATTTTATTTTATACTTGTTTTAATTAAAGTTCTGCCATATAATCTTTACTAGTCATTCCTCCTATTATATGATTTAATCGCAGGAAATAATATGACATAAGTTTAAACTTCTTTCTTTACATTAGCAAATATTTTTTAGTGCTAGAATCAGTCATATTTGCAAGATTACATATCTGTATTAGTTTATAGATACATTTTAATATACTTTTATTTAAAGCCTTTTTATTTTTAAAATATTTGAATGCAAAATTCATTTTAACCGATGAGCATATAATTCAATTACATATATATTAAAAATTATTATGGTTAATATAATAATAAAAAATATCTATAAAATGTTGAAACTTATATATAAAATATTAAAAAATATTATGGTTAATATAATAATAAAAAATATCTATAAAATATTGAAACTTATATATAAAATATTAAAAATTATAAATAAAAATAAATATTAATTAAATATTATTTTTTTCCCCTGTAGATATCAGTATAAGATTGTGATGGATATTTTTTTATCATGTAAAGGAATATATAAATTATTGCTTAGCCATGACACCTATTAATTATTAAAAACAATATTAATGTGCAAAATTATTTTAAGCAAAAAAATAAAATAATTATAGATAATTCCTAGCTATTAATGAATAAATTTGAGTTTAATGTAAAAGAATTTTTTTTAATAAAAATAAGGGTATTGCCATTTTTTTATATGGTTGTTTGAATTAAATAGAAAATATAAAAGGTTATTTACATATTCTGTGCTTTCATAATAAGTGTTTCTGCTCAATAACAACTACAAACCCTGTATATATGCATGATTAAAATTGTATCTGTCATACATTATAAAATTGTATCTGTTATACGTTTTAGACATGTATCTATATCTAGATCTATTTTTAGATGATGTATCCATATCCATTTAAAAAGTATCTTTTAACAACACAGTTATAACTAATTATTAACAATTTCACAAACTAAATTTGTGATAATAGTTAGTAAATTCTTCAGGTTTTAGGAAAGAGAAATTATATTTAAGATATAAAATATTAAATAATTAACTATATAAAACCTATTGAATATTGATAAGAAAGAAATTGTGCAAGCTAAATAATATAAATTATAAATATATTCTTTATAAACATACATTGTAAATAATATATCAGATTATTCGATTATACATAAAAACAACCTCAGGTTGTCCAGGTGATTTTTGTTTAAAGGTTGTGGCTAATGATATGGGAGGAACAAGAGGTAAAAAATTCCAATCTTCAGGTTTTTGACCTGAATGTATTGCATGAGTGGCAAAATGATTAAAAGTTGACATTTGAAATATATGGTGCTAAATAAAAGGATATACTCTATTTTTCCTAAAATGATTAATCAGCTTTTTAGGAATAATGCCTTTTACCAAAATTAAATTGACATTTTGTCAAAGATATGATTTCAGATTTTGATAGGCCATGTTTTAAATTGTTTTATATTGTTGGGATTTTATAGGCTGGGCGCATTAATTTTTAAAAATTGATAAATTATTTAACTTCTACTAATTGAAAGGGGCAATTTGACATAAAAATTGCCAGTGTCAAAGCACTATCGGGTTGTGAAGTCAACAAAATTTTTAATTTTGGACGTGCCTGATACATTATTAGAATGATTGGTATTTTTCTTAAAGATATTAAAATTATTTTTAATGTTTGTTAGGAATATTAGAAACTGGTGTACATACAATATCCTCTCAATAGAATTATTATTATCAACCTCATTTAACTAAAAAATGGTTATATACCTTTGACATTTTTTAGATATGCTGAGACATCTTTGTGGAATTTGGGAAATTATGTTAATTGACAATATGCATATTTTCTTGTTATTAACTATATCTTAGGTAATTCCACATGTTCGAACATTTCCGAACCTTCTATAAAATATTGCAATCATGTTTTAAATTAAACTTAAATAAATTATTATAATTCTAGTTATATAGTATGATTAAAAAATGTTTATCCTTATATATAAATATGGATTTTGTCACAAATCTAAAAATGTCATACATCTTTTATCATATAATTTTATTTAATCTTAAAAGAGCGAAATAAAATAATGATAATTACAATACTTATCTAAAACTAAGTATATATTTTTTTAAATTATCTTGACAAAAAAAAAAATGTCAAACTATAAAAATTAAAATTTTAAATATATTAATTGAAATAATAAAAAGTAATAATGATTATTAGAATGATAATAATAATAGCAATTATAAATATTAAAAATAATGTTTATTTTGACATAGGTAACATTCTATAATATATCATAATATTATGAATATCTGAGAATCTTTGCACTTTTAAAATTATATTGAGATTTGAGGAGTTGCTCTAATAAAAAAAAATAAGCTTAAAGACTTTTGTGAATATATTCTGAAAACTAATATATCATGAGGAAAATAAAAAATAATTTAAAATTTATGATATAATAAATTAATTTATAAATCATAATTTTTAAAATAAAATTTTATGTTTTATTAAGTATAAATGATAATTTTTTCAATAAAATTGACATTAAAGGAAAGTTAGAATTTCCCAGGAAAATAAAAATTTCCCGTTATTTCCAGGAAATTTTTCTATCTTTACATCATGATGTATTCGAATTATTATTATGCTATATATTTGAGTTCAGTTTTATAAAGAATCCAAACGGAAAAGCTAATATTGTAAAAATAAATATGAAGAAGATTTTAATTTTTGAATCGGAAGAGATGAAAAAAAGTTTTATTTATAATCATAAAGAGTATTCATAAGAAAGATAGAAAAAAAGAAAGTGGTTCCTCTAGGCGAATAGTTATATTACTACACAACTTGTCGCGCATATAAGTCAAATTTTATTTAATGGTACCAAGTTAAATGCGTTAATATGTTGCTATGATTATCGGCATATTCATTATAGGCATATGATAACATCTGTTTCATATGCAATTTTTATAAAGTTTAAAGATAACTTAAGTAATGATTCTACCTTAAATTTTCTATTTTTTTGATTCTTTATTTTTATATTTTGTATTAATAATTTATATTTTATAAAGCATTATTTTTGTTACCAACTCATTTATTATAACTAAATCCTATGTTTATTTAAATTTTTTAATATAATTGTATTATATACTTGATACTAGGGCTGGGAACCAATAGTAAAAACCCAATATTAACAAAATATTGTATTAGTATTGGTATTGGGTCTAAAATATTGGTATTGGTTTAAACAATATTTTCTATTTCTTGTATTGGTATTGCTATTGGTATTGGTTTATATTGGTATTGGTTTAAATTCAAATTACTAATTAAGAGAATATAAATAGTGATTATAAAGCCCTTAATTTCTAATTTTAAATAAACATGGGGAAAAAAATCATGATACCATAAAATCAGGGCTAAGAACCAATTCTCAAAATTTTAATGAATTCAAATTTTTTTTTAAATTAGGAATTTATTAGGTGATGTTAATATAAAAAATTTTGATTTAATCATATATTTTTTGTATCAACAATAATAAACGTATTGATTTTGAACCATTTTATTTGTCACAAAGAACATAGCAAAATAAGTAAGCTAAAAATGTAACATAACTGTCTATTTATACAAAATATAATGCAAAAGAATGATATAATTTTAATATAAGAAGAGGAAATAATTTTATGTATTTAAGAAGAATCTTGCATGCGCATCCAACTTTTTAGGCACAGGCAAGCTTGTATAGTATGCTCATCTAGTGAACAACGTTGGTCTGTTATAACATACCGTCCTTCTGAAAAAGCCCTTTCAGAGCTAGATGAGGTGGCCGGAATTGCTAGATAATCTCTAGCAATTTTTGATAATACTGGATATCTATTTTTATTTAATTTCCACCAATCTAATGGATTTGTATCATTGGAAATTGTGGCTTCATCTACGTATTTACTTACTAAGTTGTTATTATTATGAGGTTTCACCTGATAAATTTTGCCATAAAAGGATAATTTTTTGTTATTTTGTGCTTCATTTGTAAGTTCCGCTGAATTGTTATTATTTATTTTATAAATATTGTATTCATTAGTAAGATATCCAATAAGAGTTTCCATATTATTATGCTTTAATAAATGACTTGATAGTTTAAATCTTGGGTCAATCATTGTTGAAATAATAAAGAGGTGTTTATTATAATTATAGTATTTATTAAGTTTTGTTAAGGCAGCTAAAGAAGTTGTCTTTAAAATAGCATTGGGATTATTATTATAACTCTCCACATGCTCAAAAATACTGAAATATAAAGGAATAATTGTTGAAATTGTTGGAGTATTAGCACATGAGGCCATCTCTGTAGCAAATTTAAATGGTTCCAGAAATTCTCGGTATATTTCTATATTATTCCAGGCTAAGGCGCTTATATAATTTTCTTGATTGGTATATGTTGTCAAATAGGGTTTGAGCAATATTGCTCTTTCAAGCATTTGGTATGTTGAATTCCAACGTGTTGGTATATCCAAAATTGGGTGAGGAAATTTTAAGTGTGGATTTTTTTCAAGATATATTTTTTCGAGTTTATTAAATTTAGATATAGAAAGTTTAAAAATTTTTTAAAAATTTCTTATTTTTTTTAAAGTTGTATTTAAGTGTTCCAATGCAGCCATGACAGCCAAATGTATAATATGGCAAAAGCGTTTGCACACATTATCAAAATTATCTTTTTGTTTTAAAATTTTTAGAAATGCTTATTACTTGCATTGTCTAATGTAATGCAAAAAAAATCAATTTCAAATTTTACTTTTTTATTTGTTTTATTTTATACGATAGGATAAAGGCTTAAAAAAAATTATAAAAAAACAATATTAATACAAAATTCTAATAACTTTTAATACAGAATTAAAAATAATAATAGAATTATGTGCTGATTTAAAAGGAATAAAATCTAATAAATGATTATTTAATTTAAAATCATTATCAATATAATGAATTGTTATGCCCATAAAGGGTATTTTATTTGGAGAGGACCAAATGTCCATTGTTAAGGAAAATTTAGATGTAATGTTAGAAAGTACAGATTTTAAATTGATAAAAGAACTATGATATTTTCATAATTTCTATTTTTAGTGTTTTTCTAGAAACTAATGTTAGTGAAGGGTTACAATATGCTATTAAATTTTTAAAAGTGATATCCTCCTCAACTATTGAAAAGGCTAAATTATTTTGAATGAAAAAGTTTATAATTAAATTATTTAAATTAGCTTTATTATTTATATTATTAAGTAAAAATGATTTTATTGTCTTAATTTTTTTACTGCCAATATTTATTTGCTCACATTTCTTATATAATGTTGGGTGGATGGATTTAAGATGTGTCCATAATCCTGAGGTTCCAAAATTGGGAAGTGATATTTTTTTTTTACATTTATTACAAATTGCCTTTTTTTTATTAACACAAGTAGTATAAAATTCCCAGATTTTTGCTGAATTTCGTCTTTTATTAGATATTGATAATTCTTCTTGTTCCTTACCGCTATTATTATTAGTACTAACAACAGCATCTATATTTATTAACTCTATTTGGTCTTCATTTATTATAATATCCTAAATAAATAAATAAAATTGATAGATATCATGTAAAAAATTTACTTCCATAATAAAAATAAACTATAATTATAAATAACAGAAATATTGATATCACAGTATTATTTGGAAGAAATAACAGATGTAATCAGTTTTTGCAATGAAAGTAAAAAAAATACCACGATATAATTATCCACGATAAACCCAAATAATTATGTTATTTTTAATATTGGTATTGGTTAAAATTTTATTTAAACAATATATCAAAACCAATATATTTAGGTAATTGGTATTGGTATTGGTTGTAAAAGCAATACCAATATTTAAATATATATTGGTTTATATTGGTATTGGTATTGTAAACCAATATTATATTGGTATTGGTCTCACCCCTACTTGATACACTACCCGCAGAAGTGTTGTCAGCCCAGTCCGCCCAAAGCCCATTGGTAATTCTTTTAGATCTAGGCCTGACCCAAATTTCTATAAATGGAATTACAACATAATCTTGATTCAAAGTTTGAAAATTTTAATAAACTTTAAATTTATTGATATGCATAAATTCTAATTATCCGTCATGTTTAACAATAAACAATTTAGATTTCTATTTAATATTTAAATATCATCAAAATAGTTGATGATATTTTTGTCTCACAAATATTATATGTTAAAATATTATCAAATCACATATTATATTTTAGAAAAAATAAACATTGATGAAATGATTTGGTTAATGATAAATACTGACAACCTATATCAAATTTCTAAAACACAATAGACTTTGATATTTGAGTAGGATATAAATATTTCTAATCATTTGTTAGTTTGAAATATTTGATCTCAAAACGATATTCTCTAAAAATTACATTTAGAAAAAAAATTCTTATTGAAGTTAATTACAAATCTGCCAAGGAGCGCTTGAACTGAACCATGTTTATTACTTTATAAAAAAAAATCGAGACTTTCGAAATATAATTCTTTGAAAAATAATTTAATTCGAATAAATTGCCATATTTTCCCATAAGTTGGATTTGTATTTACAACTTTTGATATAATTATGCACATCTTTCTGAAGATAAAATCAAGCTAAAAGACATTATAGTTAATTAGGTATTTATTTTGAGACGATAAAATTAAATATCATAAAATTTTTTTAAATACTATGATTTTTTGAGAGTTGAAATTTAAAAATGAAGAATCTGTTAAATCGGCTATAACCATATAATATAATTATATTTTTAATAATAAGATAAAAATATATACATAAATTTTAAGGACATTCTTAAGATTTTGGTAAGTAATAAAAACATGTCTTTTTTTACAATAATGATAAGTATATTATTAGGATACCGACATAGGCGTAGACAAGATTTTGCAGTGGGGAGATAGAGGGGCACTATTAGATTGGTATTTTATCCAAAAATTATATTAGAAATCTTTAAGATCACATATTGTAGATCTTTGGCTATGTTAATTTTTATATAATATTTTTGGGTCTTTACATTTTTTTATAAAATTGCATTTTTTCTTAAAATTTTTAATTGTAGTCATTTCAAAAAATGATTCACTTTTACTTATTTTTCTTTCAAATTATTGTTTATAGTAAGGTGGGGCAACAGAGGTGTATTGTGAGGGGATAAGAAGAGAAAGTGATACAATTGGCCCCGTACCTTATCAAACAAGCAACAATTTTTCATTTCCTTCTTCTAACTATTCTACCTTTTTCTTCCTTCTAAGCTAACAATACAGGGCCCTTTTTGGGGCTAAACACCCATTTTAGGGCTAACCTCTTCCAATGTTTTGTGAGAGAACACCCTGAGTACTCTAAGGTTCAGTATAGCGGTGCATACAATTGCCTTTCTACATTTCTGCTGCTGGTCAACTTTCACGTATTATTGATGTCCAAAAATTCCGGAGTCCAGGAATGGATGATTGATTGACAACTCTGGTGCTAGACACCCAAGGGACGAAGTGTAGTCTATCATTAACTAGCTAGAAGATTCTCTTTTCGACATAGACCGTGATTCTGGTGCACCCAGGTTGGCCAGATCCATGGATCGGTGACATCCTAACTGGATCGGGTTATGCAGATTTTGACTTCCTGATAATTTATTATTTATTTTTAGCTCTCTATTCAAATTTTGAAAAGGGGCTGTGCTCCCCAAAATAATTTTAATCTCTTTTCTGTTATTATTGTTATAAATTGAAATTTATATATATTTTTTTATAGCCAAACGGCACCTTTATAACATATAAGATAAAAGGGTTTTATTTTTCCATATTTTTAGATTCATTTTTTATTTTATTATCAAATATAAGAATTTTGATTTCTATTTTAATAATTTTTATGGATATTAGAAATTAAAGATTAAAAAAAATACTTTTGTGAAAATATTAAACCAAAATATTGGCTAAAAAAAACTGGTTGGAGAAGCAGATGCAATAACAATCTACACTGATGACAGGATTTAAAATTTTTCACTTTAATTCAATAACGCTGCTCTTGACCCATTGGTATATTTTACAAAATATACTGACCCATTAATACTTTAAAAATCTTTTCTTTAAGAAATACAAACTCCATAGATTTTCGCCTGTTTTTATACATATAGAATGAGGTTCATCACTAGCATAATTTTAAGTGAAAACTTTTACTTTAATTAGCCTCGATCGAGATTTAAACTCCAAAGATATTGCAATATTGAAATAAAAATTTTACAAGATGGCTTAGAATTTATACAACTGTTGGGATTGAACCGATTTAGCAACACTATCGGTAATAAATAATATAATTTAAAAAAAATATTTTAAACGATTATAGGAATTTGACATTTTAAAATAGGTAGATTGTTAGGATTAGTCAATCTACTTAGAAAGAAATAATAAATTAGAATATTTTTTATAAAGTTCTTTTGCCAATAAACAATTTTTTATTGATTGATATTTAAAATAATTAAATCAATAAGATATTCCTAATCTAAAGTTTAAAAAATTTATTAACACTGTGGAAACTTAATCTTGCAGTCTTCCGAGTATTGATTATAGTAGATAATAGAGCGAATCTAAGAGTAAATAGTTTATTAAATTTAATGTTCATATATTGAATATCGATATCGGAGTGGATTTATGATCTATATATCAAATTGCGGAAAAGGAATAATCGCTGGGAAATGCAATCTTTTCAAAAGAAAATATGTCGATTAATACGAACGCTAGGTAAATCAAGCGGATGAGGGTCAAAGTTTATAAATAACAAAATATATGTTAGCAGCAATGTGTTTTTTATAAACTTTAAATCGTTTTTTGTGCACTTTTAAAATTTAAAATCTGATTATTGGGTAGATATTCCGCTATGTTTGGAATACCTACCCTAAAAATTTCAGACAATCTTGCCATTTTATATCAGTTTTTCCTAGGATTTTATATAAATGACTCAAAGGGCAAATTGTCTACAATTCATAAATGTATTCTAAACATGCTCGAATATATTTCTGGTAAAATTAGATTTTTAAGTATAAAAAATGCCCTCAAAAATGATTTAAAGTTGAAAAAATAACACATTGCCAGAATAAACACATGGCCAACAACATATATATTATGTCATATATAAATATCGTAGTGGGAATGTCTATAATTCCATAAATTTGAATATTTATTTATGAATATCTCTATATTTTGATATAATATTAATAAACGAATTTAGATTAAAACAAAAAGACGATTAAAAATACATATTATACAAATAATTTAAATCGAATTATTAATGAAATAAAATTTATAATAAAAATGTGAGCCAACCACCAACAGATAACATCGAGCCAAATGGTGTTAACATGCTATAATTTGAAGAGTCAAGTAATGCATATATATAACAGCTTCCACTAAATACCAAAAGGCCGCTTAGAAATAAGGATCCAGTCTATATTATTTATTTTATAATATAATAATTATGTTATATAAGTATCTTGTCAAGTAAGTTATATGATTTCATCCTTCGCATAACATTCACAAGCCATGCACTGAATAATGAAATCGAAAGATTTTTTTATGTATATGGTTTCTAATTAATGTTTTCTAAATAATCAGCTGAAAATATTTGTCGCAACGACATATATTTTATACTAAATAATTATTGTCGTCCGACTATTTTACTAAACTTATCATTTAATTATTTATAATCTTGTTTCAAGTAATAAAAATTAATCAAATCTAACTCAAACTTCCTCATGATTGAATAAGTACCTAAGAGTCATAATAATGATGAACAATCTATCTCATCGATGCAATAAAATAAAATATGAAAAAAATAAATGAGGGTGACCTAAATAGGGCTCTCAAATTAACATCCATTGAAAATAAATTAACTCCACCAAATTCTGACACATTTCTGCTTCCCAATTTTCACCCCCCTGACTCCTGACTCGTATACATCCTTACCCAATATACTAGACTACCATATCTAATGATAAAATAATTCAATCCATAAATTCCTTCAACAAATTCTCTGGAGCAGGGTTAAATGGTTTTCGCTCTTCTATTCACTTCCTCATAAAATCCAACACACACCATAAAAAATATTTTTGAATGTTTTTAAAACGTTTTTAAATAATCTTTTAAACGAAGACATTCCTGAACAGATTCACCAAATTCTTTATGGGGCTAACCTTATCGCTATACAAAAACTCAGTGGAGATATCAGCCCCATCGCAATCGGTTCTGTATTCAGGAGATTACTTGCAAAAATAATAATAACACGAGTCAAAACTGTAGGTGTTAACTTACTTAGCACATATCAAATTTTTCCGAGTCAAGGGAAGCTGCGAAATAGCCTCTCACGCCATTCGTATATATATCCAAAATTCTCCTCTTAACACTGCCATTATCAAGCTTATTTTAAAAATGTCTTCAACAGCATATCTCGTAAACATTTCTTAAAATATTTTTATCCCAAATTCTGAGATTATTCAAAATTCTTCCAAATATCTTATGGCATTATTCAAATATAGACTCCGACAAAGGTATCCAGGAAGGGGACACACTTGGACATCTCCTATTCTGTCTTGATATTCTCTACCTTAAATCCAAATTTGACTTGAATTTAAACATATGGTATCTAGATGATGGAATCATTTGTGGATCCCTTCCATTAGAAGTTTTATACTTTCTTGAACAAATCCCAAAATATAGGACTCACTCTTAACAGGCCCAATGCGGAGTTTCATTGATAATAATTCCACAGAGCTATCGGGCTACAATAGACCTTAATAACCTTACCCTATTAGGACCACCCCTATCAAACATCCCTCCATCTGAGGCATCATTATCCAAAATTTTTAACTCTTTAACATGTAAAATTTTTTAAATATACTACCAGCTTACCTAAAATTTTCATTTATTTTGATCCTCTTCGTTTTTCCTTTTGAAAAATTTCATAGATATTTTGGTAACACTTTTTAAATCTTTTGTGGAAAAATTTTTAAATCTAAATTTAACTACGTTCAACTAGGAATTAACTCAATACCTAGAAAATGGGGAGGAGGGGGGTCTTTGACTTAATATCCCTCATACCCTGTCCTTTTCATGTATTCCCGTTTAACATAATTCATTAATATCTAGTATCATATATCTCAACGATAACTTAATAGATCAGGCTCTAACAATGTGGCAAAACAATGTCTCTATTGATACACCTTTTTCCACAATAGTAATCCACAAAAATATTTTTCACCTCTAATATAAATTTTTTTTACAAATTTATATTCTTCTTTATCCCTTGAGGACATTCAACATTTCAAAACGAAGATAAAATCTGAGGCTATGAATGACTGCTGCAACTGTAAAGTAAAAACCTGGAGAATCTCTTAATTAATGAACAACTAAGAGTCTTTAGAATATAGACTCGGATGCGACCTAGTTTACCCTCATCATTGCATGATACTATTAAATGCCAATTAAATGCCAAGGGAAGGCATTATCTCAATATCAAAAGTCAAGGTCGACATCAACGTCACTCTTCAGTAAATAAATTATTCCTCCTATTAGAAAATGGATCACATACCTAAAATTCTAGAATCATGCAACCTCTAAACAGGTGACGACCTAAGACCGACGGTCTGACCACTATCCTCCGAGCCATTAGCAAATCCCTTAATTGGAATTATACAGATGTCTCATCCTTCCCGACTAATATTAATAGCAACTTGCTTACTCAAGAAGAGACTAAAAAAATAAACAAATCTAAAACCTGCCCAATTTTATATTCTCATTAATAGCAACGTCTACCAATGGACAGCCGCTCCTATAAATTTTATTTAAAAAAAATTATCTCAGAAAATTAAATCACAAACATATGAACCTAGGGATCTATTTCTTAGACAGAACATACAAATTAATATTTTTAAATAAATAAATGTTATATTGATATTGTTAAAATAAAAAGTAAAAAGTCACTCACAGTAACAAAAATTGTTGAAAAAATATATAAGATTTTCTTGAATAGTTAATTGCAAAGTATTACACTCAAAATACATTCTATTTTAAATATTAGCAAAAAGTAGGGACCCGAATTTATTTATAGCGGTTCAGCATATAAAAATTTACAATGGTTACGGTTCGGTTGCGGTTCATAAGAAAAAAATTTAAAGGTTTGGCTTGGTTCATCTACTAATTGTAAAAGTTTATAAAGGTTCATTGCAGTTAAAAAAAATTTTAAATCATATTTATTGAAGTAACAGGATTATATAAATATGAATACTATTTATTAAAATTTTTACCATCACTTAAATTAATATATTGTTTATTTATAAAGTAGATGAAATATGAAATTAATTTATTTTTATTATAAGTATCTATGAATACTATAAAAAAAAATATATAGAAATCATAATTGAATAAGAATTTATTAATGTGTTTTTATTCATTTTAGCCCTAATCATAGAATTTAATGAGTGCTCAATAGAAATATTATGGCTAGATTTCGATATTTGCGCTATCAATTTGCAAAGCCACACACATCATATAGATATTATTAGTTTAAAGGTTTATGAATTTCTCTAAAAAACAGGTTTGAAGAACTTTGCAAATACTTGCATTTCAAGCAACACAAAATCTATTCTCCATAATAAAAGTTATAACACTACTAATGCTTTAAAATATACTCAAATGCCAAAATTCAATTAATAATATATAAAATTAAAACCTTATAAATTTGATCATTTTGAAATTTAGGAATAATGACTCTTCTATCAAATTACTCGCGGGTAGGTGGTGATATTATACTTAAATTAATTAAATAAATGCAACTAAATTAAAAATATACAAATTGGTTATTTATATATATTGCATACTAAAATAGTGAAAATAGGAATATGGCTCTAATTCTATAAGAAGCAGTTAAAAGATTGTTGATCAATTTAAGTCACAATCAAAAAATTAATACATACCTCTTATGGATATTAAACAAATATTTTGATAATTTAATAATTAGAAAATAGATTGATACCTTAAAACGACGCAAATATAGTAAAATATGTAATATCACAAGGAAAAAATGTAAAATTTTTTATTTTGGTTGAAACTCCTAATTCACAAAGGTTTTTTTACTACTTCAAAATTTTTATATCGGTTCAGATATTTATAAAGGTTTATAACGGTTTTGGGAATGAGAATTTTATCCTTGATTTGATGATAGATGTTAATTTTATTAGATACCAATATTCAATTTTTATTTTTTTACCCCTTCCCCCTTCCTTCAGACCTAAGTCCAACCCATTAAGACCAAGAGTGAAATCTATTATTTGAGTCAAAACATTTTTAATTAGCATTTATTTAATACCCATATTAATATTTTATAAAAATATTCCTCCTAAAACCTAGCCTCACCCACTTAGAGTGATAATTACCATTACAATCAAAAGATATTTATATACATTTCATCTGATACCAATATCGATTTTTTATTTTTTACTCCACCCCCTTCCCTCCAGACTAACGCAACTTATTTAACAAAAATAATTACTATTATTTGAGTCTAAATATTTTTTAATTACCTTTTATTTGATACCAATATTATTGTTTTGTGTTGATTAAAATATTCTTGACCCCTCCCCCCCCCCCAACCTAGATTCGCCCACTTAGAGTGATAATTAATATTACAATCAAAAGATATTAAAGACATTTTAATTATCTTTTATTAGATACCCACATAAATTTTTGGTGTTGATTAAAATATTACTGCCCCTCTAGACCTGGAATTGCACACTAGGGAGAAGAATTAATCTCCTGGATATAATATTTGATTAGCTATCGATTTATATCCATATTGAAGATATCTACTTTTATAAGACCAAAAAAATAAAATAAATAAATACATTAAAATTTGAGAACCCGTGAAAGCATAACGCAAAACTGCTACGGTAAGAGTAAAACGTTAAGCTGCTACGAATGTTAATTTATCGTATTTAGTCATGAGTTCAATTTTAAATTAGGGTATTGTTACACTTTATCACAAAATATGACAAAAATGTGACATAACTTAGGAAACAGATAATATCAACCAAATATTTCACCAGATTTATGTGATTACTGAGGCGAAAGCGAAGTTATATGATTTTGAGAAGCCTTGATTGTGCATAGGCAAACAATCGCTCCAACATTAACGTAGACTCAATTGAGAATTATTAAAAAATAACCATTTTTATTAACAATTTTGGATATATTTTTGACTCAAATTAATGAATTTGTGATTCAGTAAATGGCTCTATTCAATTTATAAATACGATAATTTATAAATTCGTCTTAGGCAGGCGCGTACGCAGGAATTTGGTCTGGGGAAGGGGAGGGGGAGATAATAAAATTTTTTAAGAAATATTATTGTTATTTAAAAATATCAAGCATAAATTTATTACGACTAATAACTATTTCTAATACATAAATTTTAAATTAATGTGATTTATAAAAAAATTATATATATAAACCGGCATATAAAAAACTATAAAATAAAGAATTAAAAAATATTAAACGGATATAACTGGTGGCATATGAAAAACTATAAAATAAATGTGAATTATAAAATATAAAGTGAATATAACCACCATATGAATCACTTAATAGACCCAAAATAGAAGAATTTTATGAGCCTTTAAAATTTATATATAAAGTATAAAAAAATTTAATGATGGAAATATAAATTTAATACACAAAAAGTTTCTTAGGAATAAATGTATTTATATGTTATATATTTACAATGTAAAATCCAATCTTCTTTGGGATTAAGCAAATTTTCCAATTATCTCACCCTTGCTTGGCGTCAACTACGAATATTCAAAAGATTCAAACCATTCAATCTACTTTCAGAAGTTGTACTTCTTAGGTATGTTTTTCAGAGACCTGCAGGCCCGACCCCAGACCAGACCGTATTTTAATTTTTTTAAATATACCCAAGAAGGGCCCGAAATAAATCTAGGCCGTGCCCTGCAAATGGTACCTCTGCATGCAGGGCTCTGTTATTCTTCTTAAAAAAAGAGAATGTTCTCTCATTAGTTTACATGGGAGGAGTTGCTAATATATATAACCATTTTAATACATTGGGAATATAATCTAAAATGTGTTTGAAATATGCAAACCATTCATAGCATTTTTTGGGACTATATCAACCATAGTTAATCTTTTAAACATAGTTATTCAGCTAATAAGGCATCATAAGATTAACATCTTCTTGATAAATCTAATAAATATTTTTTTTTCTATCACTATCTGAAAAAGGTTGTGAAGGCTTTTGTGGAAGATCTGCAGATTGGTAAGTGCTGCATGATAAATTAAAAACCATTCATTTATTTGGGTTATAAATGTATCTAAGAGAGGGACATTTGTTTTATAATACTGTTCTACCGATCCTATATTAATGTTTTGACGATGAGCTTGCCTTGCTGCAAGTCGAGGGAGATAAATATCAAACATATATAGCTCTGCTTTAGACTCAACAATAACATATAAAATTCTTCATCAACATTAGCTCTAATTTCCTTGAGTTATAATAAAATGATCTCCACTATTCTAATCTTCTTAATCAAGTCAAGAAAGAAAGAAAGAAAGAAAGAAAGAAAGAAAGAAAGAAAGAAAGAAAGAAAGAAGAAAGAAAGAAAGAAAGAAAGAAAGAAAGAAAGAAAGAAAGAAAGAAAGAAAGAAAGAAAGAAAGAAAGAAAGAAAGAAAGAAAGAAAGAAAGAAAGAAAGAAAGAAAGAGATGTTTTTGAAAAGTATTACATAAAATAGTTGTATAATTAAATAATACATTCTGATTAGAAAAAAATTTGGAGTAAGTATTGAATCCAATAATTTTCTTGTTTCTGAGGAAATATTTTTTTCAGGCCATTGTGATATTTCAGTAATAGCATTAATAATCGGCTCTTCTAACTCCATAAAGGCTGTTACTGCTTTATGGCGGAGACTCCATCTCGTTAGACAAGCTTGCAATTTATTTCTTCCTGTTGGACAAGGAGTTTCAGAAATAATTATTATTTGAAAATGGTAGATAAATATTAAGCCAAAATTTGAAAATAATAGGTGAATATTACGCCAAGGAAAACTCGAAATCGATATTAATTGATAAAATAACTTAGTGATGTGATAAATAAATGTAATTAAATATATATTTAATATGAGATAGGATTAAATATTAACAAATATAAATTAATATGATAATATTTTTGAAAAATATATCCGGCATCTGCATTTTTTGGCTTGGGGGGGGCTGCCTCCCCCCACCCACTGCCTATGCGCCTGGTCTTAGGGTACATTAAATCTTGATATTAAAATTTAATATTTACCACAATTTTATTCAAAGGAAGCAGTATTTGATGACCAATTAATTTCATAATTCAAATCTTGGTATAAGATTAATTAATTAATAATCTTCCAAGAAACGCAATGAAACCATTGCACACTTTATAATTTTCAAAATATATTAAAATTACTTGTATATTTTGGCAACAATACCAATTAGTACAAATACAAATGAAAAGACCTTTTCTACGGAGAATAAAAACCTATCTTAGAGATACGTCATCAGAAAATCGATTGAATGGACTAGCTCTACTTAATATACATATACATAGATTTAATCTTCTTTTACAAACGAAGCTAAAGAATTTTTATATGCGTCAAAAAATTCAGATAAAAATTTTTAGATATAATTATGGTTCCTTTTTGGGAATACAATTATGAAATTGTATTTTTAATTTTATAGTGTTTTAATTTTAGTGTTTTAAATATGACAGAAATTTTTAATAAAGTATTTATAAAAATGATTTTAAAAAAATTACAAAACAAATTGTCGAAAATGTGAATTAAATTTCCATTTGTGAACGATATTCTTTTTATATCATTTTATTGTGATTTACAAACCGGGTTAGATTTTTAACAATATTACATTCGCTCTTAAATATTTTGTATTTCCCAATAGTTTATTATTTGTGTTCGAAATTGTCATTTTTTTAATATAAGATTAGTTCTAATTAATTTTATATGATGATTTTAGTAAATTTTTAATGTTCCAAAAAATTATTTCAATATTAAAATATTACCCTCCCCCCTCCCCTCCGGAGAAAATTTTGGATCTGAGAGATATCTATCTCTACCATTAAATGAAGATCCATTATTTAATTATTTAAACTTGTTTAAATTTATGCTATAGTTGCAAGGGTTGTGATATTTATAATTTTACCTTACCTCCTGTACCTTTTAAACCTTTCAAACATATCTCTAACTCTTAACTAACAGCGTAGGTCATGACAAATAATTTTCATTAAATAAAACAAGCCTTTTTTGGTAGTCTCAAGTTGTTATTACCATTACTCTCATTGCAAACTGATTTTAATTCAATTAAATTAAAGATGAGATATTCAAATTATAAATTTGGTAAATTATTTATTTTTCTACTTTATTATTGTTCTTCTTTATTTATTGTTTTCCTTTATTTATTTTTATCCCAAAAACTGGCAAAGAGTTAGATATGACTAAATAAAATTTGTACTGAAAAAATTTATAAATAAAATATGGATTCATCTAATTTTAATAAACCTAGGACATATTTTAAAATTATATTCATCAACTTTAAAAATTTAGATGATAAACATTACATTCACAAACTCTATGTCATTCCAGCAAAGGCTGAGCCTCTTCCTCCTAACCCCCTCCCCCTCCAGAAGACTGGGTTAGGACGATTTCTTAAATGGATATAGGTGAAAAAGTTTTTTTTAAGACTTCTTAAGATGTCAATTAAACTTTAGTAATATCTTTCTCATCATACACGGTCTAAAGATTTTTTATTGAAGGTTTAAGAAAAATTTTAAAGTGAGGAGCTAGAAGTAGGCACATAAATAATATATAGGTCTAGTAATTCTATAAATGTTTGTTAAGCTGGATTCATAGTAAAAGTTTAGGCAAATTTCATGTTTTCATTAGGCAAACTAAGAATATATCTTTTAAATATCATTACAATTTAAAGAAAACTCAATGAATTGCAAAAATTGAAAATAAGCAGATTTAACAAATAAATACTATTTAACATTCAGGAATCCAAGTGAGTAGAACCTTTGATCTGAAATAAACTTTTATAACTTCCCAAACAGATACCCAATTTTTAAAAGAAGTGGGGGAACGAACCTTGATAACTTTCTAGATTAAAATCGTATTTTTTAAATTTAGTTGTAATTTAATACCATTATTTGAAAATTGAGATACTCTGGGGTGTTATCATGGGTTATACTTTAATCTCTTGGTAGAAACCTAACCTTTGCTTTAAACAAAGGTTGGGTTCCCTGGTAACGTTATAATAAGTAAATATATTATTTACCAAAAGTGGTTTTTTTGATAATGGTACGAGCATCAATGCGATAGAGCTAATAAAATGAAACTGTTTGGCTGTTTGATAAACCTATAAAACTATATTATTATACATCAAATTTAATATATTACTTGTTTAGATTTAGTGGAGATATTTTTTTCTTCTATTACTATAATGTATTTTTGTAAGAAGCAAATAAAGGAATTATAAATTTTAACAACTTTTGGAAAAATTAAAATTATAAAAATGGAATTCTATTCAATAATAAAATGGAATTTAAAAAAAAACCTAAAAAAAGAGACAAAAAGGTTTTAGGAATCAGGAATATATTAACAATTGGCAGTACAAACCGTTCCTAACCTTAGATCAACCTATTCCTCATAGGTTATGTCTCAAATTTCTTACATATGTTTTTTATATATTATTTGCAGGGATAGGCATAATTACTCAAAAATTTAATTAATTCCTAATTACATTTACTTATAAAATTTTTAATTCCTTTTATAAAAACGGTAAATAATTATTTTTTCATGTAATCTGATTTTCTAGAGTATTTTTAATTATATAATTAAACTTCCTTTTATAGCAAGATTAAAGCAGGATTTTATTAAAAATTATAAAACGAGAAACTTTATTAAATAGCATATAATGTAATTATATTTATTTTATATTACAATTTTTTTATATTTTAAAAATATAAAGATTTTACTCGTTCAATAAAAAATATAAAATCATATCAGACATTTACATGTAAATTATTATAAACATTATATTTGTACATTGTTAAGAAATGCTATAAAATTCTGTGTTACAAAATGGAATATTATTTATGTCGTCTAAATATAATTAAATATTACAGGCATTATACACTAATAAACAAAAGATATTGAAAATATTTTTAACTATATTTAAGAAAAACGTAGATAATTTTTTTAAGGTATTTATTTTTATTTTTCAAACAGTCTGTTATTTAAATTAAATATGTTCTATATAACTTTTCCAGTTGCAATGCTAAATAATCTTTATTCAGGTACTGATGAAGACAACAATACTATGACTTATTATAACAAAATTTGCATTAAATCATTAGCTACTTGATGACTTATTTTGGATGACTTTGAGAAAAATATTCTGGTAAAGTTTGTTGAATATTTATTTTTTATGATTCTAAAAAATTTCAATGATTAAATTGTGTTAACATTCTTTAAAGGAATAAGATTAACATAAAGTTAATATGTAAATATACCTTCCTATCTTTTAGAAAATTATTGGGGGTTTGATTCAGGCCCTTTACGATTAGATTGCAGAGAGAACAAGCAGTTCTTGTGATTTTTCATTTTTACTAGTTATTTTAAAAAATTTCGATTGAATATTGACAATTTAGATTTTTCTTCTACTGAAAGTAAAATTGTATTTGAAGAGAAAATTTTGGAGTTATCGTCAGAGTCCAAGATAAAAGTTAAAGATTAATCACTCTATGTTTCCACCAAAAATATGAATGAAATTTTACAATTATTAATAGTTTTAAATATAAAAAAATGATTTATTAAGCGTTTTTCATAAAAAGGAATTAAATAAGAAAAGAAATTATAAATGTAATTAGGAATCATACTGTTAATTCCTAATTATATGTCTGAAAAAATGTAATTAATTATAATTACTAGCCCTTTTTTAAAAAGTGGAATTAACTATAGTTACTAATTATAAAAAAGGAATTGTAATTATGATAATTACTGTCCAACCTTGATTATTTGTTACGAAGTACTATATATTTCTAAGTGCTAATACTCAAAAAATGTATGGATATTATATTCTAAACGCTAAAAAAGGAAATATGATAACTCTTATTAGTAAAATATATAAATATGATAAGAGAAAAGTCATAACTTTTATGATAAAAAATAATTTCCTGATAGGGCTAGGGCTCATGTTTTCACACTTAATATAAAAAAACAATAGTCGAACTAAAAAAAACGTCATAATACCCAGCGATCGTAACTAATTATTTACCGGGGTAAGCATTACAAACATTAGAAATAATAAATGTGAATGTAAGAATATTTTTTCGATGACAGACTACATATGCCAGTGCTAAAGGCAATTGTGACGAACAGCCATGAATTATCATTATTTGGATTATCATGGATTTTTGTATTTAATTAAAACTAACAAAAAAGTACTAAATTGGTTAAATGCAGCAAATATTAGGGAGGAGATAAAATTCAATAAAGATTTTAAGAAATATTTAAGGATAAACTAATGTAAAAATACACGTTAAAGAAATTACAACGCCTATGGCTATGCCATCTAGACACATGCTTTAAACAAGAAATAATAAGTGGAGGATCCCAACGATCAATCCAATTGAATGGGCTGCTCCAAATGTAAACATTTTAAAGAAAGATGATAGTTAGATTTTTGAAGACTTTTATACAACAATCCTCATCTAAAAGTTGATCATTACTTACTACCAATGCCTGAAGACATTACAAATAGTAGAAGGTCCTAAATTCACTACATTAGATTGTCGTGACGCTTACCTTTAGATGTCGATTGATTAAAAACGCAAAAAATACCAGGTTATTACGACACACCTTGGATATTTTTGTTATCATAAAATTAGGTAATGCTTATGGAAAAATTATACCAAATATAGGAATTCTTAGATATTATTACAGCACACACCCAGACCAGAACATATTCAATCACTACAACATGTATAAAATCTATTGCTAAATATGGGGATCAAAATTAAACTATTTTTTTTAAAATTTTAACATATTTAATTAAGAATTTCCTTATTAATTATAAACTAACATATATCGACAGAGGAATTAGACTGTTGATTAAGAAGGGTGGTTTCAGAATGTATAAAGGGTAATAATTATCAAAGACACCTTATCGCCCTGCAATACAGACACACCAATAGGGATAGCCAGTAACACCTCAAAGAAAGAAATAAATAAAGAGAGAAAGAGAAAATTGGTTAGGGGCTACCACTTTTGTATAATTTCAGAATGTGGAGAAATCATATGCTTCTATAAACCGTGAAGCCTATCCGTATTTTTTTTCTAATCAACATGAAATTTTTAAATTATATGATAAAATTAGGTTATATTCAGAAAATTAATTTATAACCTTACATTAGATTGATAGATATTAATCTCAACATTATATATATTTTCTTTGGGACATCTAGGAAATATTTTGATTTGCTAATAATTTAGGAAATACTTTGATTTTATAATCATTTTAGAGGCAAATCTCTTTTATTCATGTTTTTTTTTTAAATTGCATAAAAAATTAAAAAGTTTTAGATTTTTTTTTAGAATTGTCGCTATTTCTAGAATTTTTGAGAGCGTTTTTATTCTCGACTGAAAAATGCTTATTTCTTTATTTTGCTTAAATTTTTAAACTTTGCTAAAACCCCTTTTAGAGCTTAGAAGTCAAATTTTAAGTAGAGCATCCTAATTCTTGACGTTTTAATAACCTTCGTTATATTTCATCTCCATGTTTTCTGGTATATAAAAAAAATATACTTCTAAATATCATAAATATATTTATGATCAAAATGTCCTAACAATTTCAATATAATTAATGGAAATGTAAGATGAAAAACTCATCGAAAAATATTAAATAAATTAAAATTAAAGCAAAATTGATTTCCTATCATCAATATCGGTAAGATGAGTTGTGCTGATAATTAATACTCCTCAAAAAAATATTTTATCAAAGTAGCATTTTTTGAAAATTTTAAACGTAAATATCTAAATCCTTTATAATATCCAAATATAAATAAAATGTTCATCTTTAAATATTTACAACAGAGCATAAAAAATTTCATTTGTCGGACAAGCTTGTTGTTTTCCTTATGAGGCAAAGATACAATACTAATTATTTATAAGAAAAATGGAGAGAGCTCGCCATAATTACAATAAATATTTTATTGCATTTCATAATGAAATTATTAAATATAAAAAAATTATCTTCAATTGATACAATTTTTTATTTTACATAAATTATAACCCCTAAGCAAAAATAGAATATATAAATATAATTTAAGTAATATTATTATATCTGCCATAGCAATTTTTTCGCTATTTTTTATGAAAAATAATTTTTTTAAATTTGCAGAAACGTGGTATTATTAAATTATATTAAAATATTTTTATAACCGCCATTAGCAATTCTTTTTCTACGAAAAGTGTATAAATAATTTATACAGATTTGTAGAAATATAGTGCATATAAAATAAGTTAAACCATCCTATTTCGCTCTTTTTAATGACTTATTTCACATTTGATTGATTTAAAATTAGTATTACTATTAATCACTAACTATGGAGTTGTGACATAGGAGCAACAAATGGAGGGGAGGGGAGCTTGTGGACGTTTCCCCCTTCGGAAATTTGCCTGTTCTCCTATTATTTTTTAGATACTAGCCGACCACAAGCTAAGATCATCAAAATGTTCGCCCAAGTAAATTTTAATGTCTAATTTTTTTAAAACAATCATATTATATTCTAATTAATTTGTAATTTTTTAATTTTATTTTCTTTAAATGGGTAGAGTAAAGACAACAAATATTCATATTCGTGAGATCTATATGTCATAAAAAATAGCGGCAGTTATAAATGCAAAGGTAAATGTAACACAATTTTAATATAGCTAGGCGAAAATAAAGATATTTTAGAATGGTAGGGTAATAATTTTAAATAGAATCACATATTTTATTTTATATATATTTTAATAATTAATATTCAAAATATTTTATATTAAATTTTGTACATTATATATATTAGTATTTTTTTTATAATAAAGTTTTTGTAATTTTTGCCGAGTGTTCATGATTATTTTTAAATTAAAATTAAGTATCAACGAAGATGTAAAGTATTTAGATTGATAAAATAAAATGAATTTTTTATTTCATGGTATCTCGTTGTTTGGCGCTATCTTTTTTAAATAAGTAAATCTTTGAATATTGTTTGATAATTTCTATTTCTATATGTATATTAGAATTTTTAAGCCTCTGAAATTTTTTAACTTATTAACTCTTAATTTTTATTTATATAAATAATATCTAAAAAAAATTTCATGGATTGATGAAAGTGATTTTACAAAAGCTACATTTCTTTTTTGGTAAACGAGAACTGTAAAGTAAAGAACTATTTAGAGTAATAAAAAATATTTACTCATCCTTCAGATTCTGTTCTTTTATTCAAAGGCAGTTTTGAAGGGCTCTTCCTCGCTCTTAACCCCGATGCTACTTTTCCAATAAATCAAGTTAATGATTTTCCACCAACTATCTACAATTTTGGCTTGGGTTATGAATGGCTCGAAACTATTTTATTCTATTCAACAACATACGCTTAGCAATAGGCTTTCGTTTAGGAGGTGATATCGTCATACCTCACCCTTCAAACATACCTATTGACAACCTTGGTGATCGTCCCCTATATTACCTCTCACCATATACGCCACCAAGCTGTAAATGCGATTTCCGCTCAGTTAATATTCCATCGACATTCACTGTAATTTCGATGGCAATTTTAGATCGTAGAATGCAACTCATTCTAGCCTAGGATTACAGACGCATTGATCATTTTGTGCTTTCCTTTAACTCTAATTCTATGGTCAGAGAGATAAAAAAATTAATAAGTATAGCAACTTATACTTAATATCACATTAATTCCCAATGTCCGACACAATCGGTATATTTGGATCTAGAGCTCGGATTTTTTTTATAAACACCAGGCTAAAATGGCATTTAATTTTAAGTGACCCTTAGGAAGAATTTTATCTTCGCCAAAGGATATCAATTAATTCTTGTATATCAATCTCCTTTGGCATTTTCTATACGGCATTTTCTATACTTTTTAGATAATTTTATTTCTATTCTTTTTAAAATATATATTATTTTGATATAATATAAATATTACTCAAAAAACGTCGAGCTTTGGAAACTTTATAATTTTAAACGCATCATTTACTTTTTATAAAATTTCATATTTCATTAAAGAGAAATTAGAATTGTTATCAAAAGAAAATCTTACTAATAAAATAACGGCCTGAGGAATTATTGAAATACACACCAAGTTTTATTCCTGAATCTTTATAGCGAACTTGAAATACGGGATTCATATACCGATAACAAAACTCCTATTCTAAATCTACCATATAATCAAATGTGCAACGAATTAAAGGCTTTGGTTTATAAAAATATACAACCTTATATCTCTAGACAAACTAGAGAAAAATTTGTGAATAGCCTTTACTTACGCAATAAAAAAGTAAGAGTTCGATCAGTATGAGATGAGATTGTTAGGTAATATACAAGAAGGGTGAGGGCTGACTAATCATAATTTTGCTAATTATACTTTTAATAATTCTTTAATTGTATTTTAAAAAAGAAATCAAATTTTGCTTGTGTTGCGCATTATAATTTATGATTAGGAAATTTTTGAAAAAGGCGAACATCAGTAGTTTATATAATGGGAGTTCAAGCCCATATTTGAAAAAAAGTTAATTGAGGGCCTTGAGTTATTATTTGTCAAATTTTATGCCTTTTTTATAAAGGGACTCGATCAAATTTTACAAATTTTGATGATATTAAGTTCTATATATTTTTTATTAAAATATGAAATTTCATTTTTTTAAAAAAGACCCGTTTATTATTAATATTTCAAAGTGCGATAATTTTTTTAAGACAAAATATATTTCTTTTAAATAAATGAAATGATTATATTAAGATTTAATTATCTATTAAAAATGAATTCAATAAGATTTATAATGTACATATTTTTGTATAACTATTAGTGTATAAAAAAATATTTCTAAAAAAGAATGATATAAAAAAAATAAAGGGTTACTAAAGAAAGGACTATTAAGAAGAAACTATAAATATTTATTTTTTTAAAAAAGGTGGGGGTCATTTAAGGGGAATGGATGATTAGGAAGTTAGATCGATAAATTATCTGTCATACATAAAACCCCTAATTTGAATTTTAGGTGTTTAAACGTATTTTTTCCCTAGGTTTTTTGTTAATTTAAAAGCTAGGTCACGAAAGATATCCAAGGTGTTGGTAACTATGGGCATAAAAATTTCATTTGAAGGCTGAGGATTTGTTTTTTTAAGGTTTAGGCGTGGGCCGGGGCAAAGTGTGATTTGTTTAATTTAGCTGAGAAATCAATATCGATATAGTCAGGCGCTTCATGTTAACTGTGAATGCAGAGTAACTCCTCGTTCACAGTTAGCGCGAATTAGCTGCGTAGAACATAAAAATACTGCATATTTTGTATAATTCGCCGCATATTTAAAAATTTATTATTTTTTTTTCTAATTTTTTTTTTAAAATATGTATTTTTTTTATATGTCAAAATTTAAAAAAATTTAAAGTATAATTAATCTCAATATATGTATGATAAAAATTAAAAAAATATGATTAATCTATAAAATGTAATATAAAAAAATATAAAATATTAAAAGTATATCAATATCAGTGTCGAACGAAAGTTAGCTGATTTTGTTGGTTAAAATACTTTTATTGTAGAATTGTTTGGTACAAATAAAAATGCCAAATGAAATTAAAATTTTTCAAACTAAAATTAGCTATTGCTATTTCTCAACTCCTTAATTAGCCCAATTTAAGAAGTTTAAAGGCATATTTTTCATTCAAAAATTTATTTATTTTTTCTATCAGTTTTTACTATTATTTTTGAAAATCTTGAAACCAAATTTGTATTATTGTATAAAAAAAATAAAATAAGTATAAATAAAGGTAATGTATTATTAAAATGTTCATTAAATATATCAATGTCGATGATATAAATATTACTTGTGATTTTTAATTTATGTTATTTCTTAATTTTAGAAACTAATTATTTTTTTTAATTATAAAGAAATAAAAAAAATTTTAAAATATGTGAAGATTTTTTATATTAGTTTCGTTTTACATTTAGAACATTAAATAATTTTTCACTGTTGCGATTAGGATTAGCAACTATGTCAAAAATTGAAATAGGAAATAAAAATTTTTGTCTAACAAGGTGATTAATAGTGCAATTTGGTTATTTAATTTAGATTTTGCTTTCTAAATCCTTATCTTTCACTATTTTAAATTTTGATATAAATCATTGATTTTTTGCAATCACTTTTAAAATTGTGAAAAATTCAGAAATTCCTTATTTTAAAACATATCAATGAACTCGTTTTTTAAATACCTTCATATTTCTTTGAGAGGCACGGTATTTTCTCCATTACGAATTGAAGATATAAGGGTATGTTTGTTCATATTTTTATGACCCCCTTTAAAAATTTGCAAAACGTCAGTTGAGAATTGGCATAGGGATTTTATTCCATAATGCCAGCCTCCAACACAATTTGTTGTTCGGGCGACACCATCTAACGTATATTTGCGTATGTTCCACAATTTTATATTATAGAGAGCTGCAGACCTATAATTTATAACGAAAATATTTTCTAGAATTTCTAAATCATTGTAAAATTTTTTATATTTACATTTTATAATTTTTTAATCGTATTTTTAATTTTTCATATTTGTTTAATTTTATCATATAATTTTTTATATATAAATTTTTAATCGTATTTTTTAATTTTTCATATGTGTTTAAATTTTATCATATAATTTTATATATTATATATATTGCTATTTTAAATAATTATACTTAATATTTAGAAAAGATGAAATTTTTAACTTAGTAAATAAAATCGCGTAATGTAGCATGTTATAAAGTGTCGCAAGGCGGTCTCAGGCTAGGGAATGCTTTTAGACCAAGGAATTAAAGTACTAACTTTTTTATTCTATCATAAGAGGCCAACTGGTTTGAGAGTGGATAGCTGTAATTATATATTTTTTTAAATTTTATTCATTTCAACTGAGTTCTAACAAAGTTTTTATACTCTTTTCTTTTAAATTTTATTTTTTAACATTTATATCCAGAGTCAACTTATTAAATTAATATTTAATCAAAATCTACATGGGCTAATAATTTTAAGACACAAAATTAATTCTTTTTATATTTTATTAATAAATTTTAAAATATTTTTCAAAAAACATCTTTAGTTTGTCAATCTCCTTCCTAATATATTATATACAATAATAACACATCATAATAACCATGTGTTTGTGTTATTTAGTTTTAAGAATTGGGATAGAAACATTTTATTTGGACTGGACTATATATCCTTGTGGTTGAATCTTATGATTGTATTCAATTAAATACATAACATAATTTTAAATTATATCGGACTTATTTTTAAAGATAATTATTTTATTTTATACACTTTGTTTGAATGTTATATATTAAAAATACGCTATATATTTCTTGCATGAGGTGATTTTACGTTTTCTATTTTTTGTAACTTCCCAGATTACTCCAAAATAAATGGTTTAAAAGCATTGGAAAACATTTTATTTGGACTGGACTATATATCCTTGTGGTTGAATCTTATGATTGTATTCAATTAAATACATAACATAATTTTAAATTATATCGGACTTATTTTTAAAGATAATTATTTTATTTTATACACTTTGTTTGAATGTTATATATTAAAAATACGCTATATATTTCTTGCATGAGGTGATTTTACGTTTTCTATTTTTTGTAACTTCCCAGATTACTCCAAAATAGATGGTTTAAAAGCATTGGAGAAATGGGTATAACATTTTAGTAATAATAACGATAAATCAACACCCTTGGAAAAAATATGCTAGCAAATATTCTCTATTACCTATTTTGAAAAATATTAAGAAACGTTACTGATTTTGGGGATAATAACTAAGCCATTTTACAAACCCTGCCGATGACCGGCACTTGGCCTCGCGTAATTTTCATATTACTCTCGCAAAATAAAATTTTTACCAAATTTCTCCCGCAATTTAAAGTTTTGACTTGGCAACCCTCTCCTACTAGTCCTAAATCCATATCTATCCTCTTAAACATTTCTCACACACTCTCTACCTTAAAGATTTTGTATGAATATTATCCTCCCACAATGCTCTTCTGATGAATACTGCTTCTCCTTTTTTTGTACACTGGATTGATAGTTAATAATGAAGCCCAAATAAAACATTAGCTAAAGAAATCTTCAATTCTCCATTATACTTACTCTAAGTATCTCTCACATTCAAATCAGGGTTTTAGAATCCGTTCTACGGTTCACCTTTTAATCGCAGTGTTCGTATCTTTAAGGCTTTAAGCCGATTCGCGAGTTCCTGAATCCGATTTGCAACTCTCTCAAGTTTTTGTTATCTGATATCTTAGTAAATAAGCATTTCAACTTGCTCATCATCTACATTTCAAAAGGAATGGGATTTTTTCTTTGTTCCGTTAAATTTCTCCTTTTATAACTAGATGAATTCTATCATTTCACATTGGAAAATTTTTGAGCTTCAGCGTGATAGCTCTCTTTAGAGAAATGGGCATAATTCCTTTTTGCCTATTTCTCAAACCTAGACAGTGTGAAAAACGATATTATTCCCAGGGCCCTAAAAAGCTAAAATCCCATACTCCTTAAAACCTTAATCGATAACAAAAGGCCTGATGGCTTTGCTCTTATCCCTTGAAAGAAGAGATGAGGATTGTTTCTAGAACAATATTTTTCAATAGCTCTGCAAAGGTCTTGATTGTGAACTAATTACTTTAAAAATCCACCAGTCCCTGCACTGTAAATAATTGCGAGATTGGCATTCTTACTATGCGGTTATAAAGAATATAATTCTAATACTTTTCAAAAAAAAAGTTTAATTCCATCCTTGAATAAGTGGTAGAAAAAGGGCTAAGAATTAAAAGATAAGTACTATGCAGAAAAATCGAGATCAAGATGAAAATTGACACGATACAAATATTAACAGCATATCGCAATATTGAACAATCAGGAAAGTCGCCGATTGATCTAATAATAGATGAATACAACTAGATAAAATGCCAAAATCCCCTCATAAAAAATGTAAGACACGAAAAATGAGATATGCAGAATTTGATAATCATGAATTAGTGTTGGTAAAAACGAAATACAACTGGTATAGTGATAATGAGAAAATAACATGAGAGCCAAGCGTTTGAGGTCAAAGAATATAGAAAAATAAAAAGAATGCCGATCCACTAACGGGATGAGCTTAATTAAATAATTCAGAATGACTAGTCATGACGCAACAAGCTTGGAATCTGAAGATACAAAAATAGATATCAAGAACTATCCGAAAATAAATTCCTTATAGGCAAGAGGAAATAAAATGCTTTGAATAAATAAATAAAAGTATGTAAAATTTGAATGGAAAATATAAAATTTTTATAAAGATATTCAAGTTCCTATTTTTATGTAGATATGTAAACTTAAATTTAATCAAATAAATATCTGCTTTGCTTAGTTTTGGAAGTGCAACAAAAAGGATTGTGTTCGATATAAGTATTTTAGAGTTAAACTTAAAATCTCAAATTTTACCATGCTTTCCATAAGCTGCCAAAAAATAGGCCGAAGCAGCAGATAGGGATCCTAATCCTAAGAAAAATTTTTGTGTTTGATTGAATATGAAAATATTTTTTTCCTTTTCTAATACAGAAGTAGAAGCGTGATATGTAATTTTTTTTAGCAATTGATCAAAGCTGTCAATGTGATTAACACTCATATTCTTCATATTTTTACTGGGATGGAATCGTATTGTAATCTACAAAGGAAATCGAATTAAAACAGTTAATTTATATTCAATATTAAAAAAATTTTTTATTAATTAAAAAATATTTTTTTGAGCCTTATAAAAATTATACTTTGTTAGACATAAGAAAAAAAAATATAAATGGTAATATAATTTTATTTAGCCTACGTGATTTTAATAACGTAATATAAAGATAAACAAAAATACAAAATAAAATAATAACATGTTAAAGGTTATCGTTTATAGTTTATAGTTAAAAATAGAATTTCTAAAATAATAATGGATGTTTATAAATAAAATTAATTGCCTCATTTTAATAACACTTTAGTATACAATTTTTTTATATCGAATATTTAGCCACCCAAAATTTTATTATTGTCATTCTTGTTGTAAAATTATTATGTTATATTAATTATTCTAATAATCATCAAAGCCCTACAGAAGTACCCATCCCATTCAAAAAAGGAAAGGTCGCAACCAAAATAAGAAAGGCCCTAATCAAAAAAGGAAAAGGGTCAATCAAATAAGGAAAAGTATCAAAAAGGCAAAGTGCCATTCAAAAAATAAAATATTTCGATTAAAAAAGAAAAGATCAAAAAAAGGAATCCCAAGAAAAGGAAAATGTTTCATCAAAAAAAGGAAGATTCCTTTTCAAAAAGAATTTTTTAAAAAAATATATTTTTTTATATGTCATTTTTTTATTGGTTATTTTTAATTTTCTTATATTTTTTTAAACTTTTTACTATTTTTTAATTTTATCTATTTTTGTCACATTTTTTATAAAAAAACATTCTTAATTTAGAATAATTTCTTTATTTTCCCTAACTCCTCAATTTCTTTTGTTATTTCTAACCAGGGATTCGAACCGAGCCCGATACAGGAGCAGAAAACTTGGGCTTTTTAGGAAAAAATCTGAACCCGATTCAAAAACCCCGTTTACAAAATTTTAAACCCCGAACCGAACCCGGGAATTTTATTTGAACCCGGGTTCAGCGTATTGTTTATGTTAAGTAGTTGTAATTGTTTTTATATTTATAATTCTCCTTTATAGTGCGCACAAATTGAGCATTTGCGTTTGCATTACTTTTTAACGCAACGCATCTTTTTTTAGATTAAAAGCAGTACTTTTTTTCCTTGTTTTAATTTTAACGTGATTTAATTTTTATTAAACAATATGGATTTCTTTAATTATAAACAACTAATTGTTTATTTTAATTATATATATTTTACTGGCTTTCAGATGGCACCCTTTCCAAAAGAGCCAAAAGTCTTTCACCCATGAGTGCATTTATTTTTGAACCAGTAGCCTTTGGTGCAGTTTCTTTAGGACTAAAATTGTCAGTAGATTTTCTGTCCTTTACATTGGCTTCATAAATTTTATATATTCATATTCAACTTCTTCTATATTGTCTGGTTTATTAATAAACTCTGACATTATATTTAATGAATATATATCTATTTTTTTATATATTTTAATATTTTATATATAAATAATTTTTTATTAGAGTAGTGTAAATATTTTTTAATATATATATTTAAATTATATGCTTATATGAAATAGAATTTTGCATTCAAGTATTTTTGTTTATAATATAAAAAACGTTAAATAAAAGTATATTTTAATGTATCTTAAAAAGTATCTAAAAACAGATACAGATACGTCTAAAATAATATCTAGATACAGATAGATATTTTAATCAAAAATATATTTAGATACAGATACCACATTTTTATATCTAGATACAGGATTCAGATACTTGTATCTAGATACTTTAACAACTCTGCTGTTCATATATATATTTACCTTAAACTAATGGTTGATAAACCATCTAAAACGTATTCTAATAATGATATCAATTAATATATTCTAAAATTATATAAATATCAGAGACCTGCAGGCCCGACCCTAAACCCGGCCCGGACAGGGCCGGGCCGTACTTTAAATTTTTTAAATATACCCGGGCCGGGCCTAAAAAAATTTTTTTTAAACATATCCGGGCCGGGCCTAAAAAATTTTTTTTAAAATATATCCAGGCCGGGCCTAAGATTGTTAAACCCGGGCCGGGCCTTAATCATTTTTATAAAAATTTTTACATTATGAGTTAATGGTTATAAGATTATATTATATTATAGTTATGATTAATATAATATTGGGTGATGGTTAACACTACCTAACACCCACATATCGATCTAATTATTAATTTCCTGCAAATTTATTCAAAGTATTAATATATTTTTTTATAATTCATATCTAAATTTTTATAACATATTTTACCAAAACAATCAAATAAAGGAATATCTTAAATAACAATATTCAAGTATTATTAATATTATTTTTTATAATTCATATCTAAATTTTTAGAATATATTTTACCAAAACAATCAAATAAAGGAATATCACTTCTTGAAGTTTGTAATACCTTTCAAAGCGAAAAAGGAGTAAAATTGATTTTACTTAATATAAAGCATTTTTTAATTGAAAAATTTGTTTTACACAAGTATCATTTTATTTCTCTTTTTCTCTGTCCCAAATTCAAGCAATTACGTATGTAGTCAGGGACAGATCGCAAGATGACGGAAAACTATATAAAAGATTATATTAAATTACAAGAGGCTCAGGAAGTAAATGAAATACCATCGACTAGTCAAATTACGACTGTTGTTAAACAAACTGAATCGTTTTATGACAAATGGGGCGATGGTAATTCTGGTAATATGTCAATACCCGATGATGAATATTATAATTACATAAATAAAAAAATAGATGAAACATTTAAGGTGGATAATTTGTTAGAGTGGTGGGCGGCTCATCAAAGTGAATTTCCAATTTTAGCAAAATTGGCAATTCCTGCTTCAAGTGCAAGCTGTGAGCGGAATTTTTCCACTACGAGAATTCTTGAAGAAAGAAGAAGTAATCTTCAACCTGAAAAGGTAGATATCCTTCTCTTTCTTCATGATAATTTGTGAATTTTTAATATCTTTCTTGAGTATAGGGTTTCGTCAATCATGCTGGTTTTTTACTTTGCAAACTGTCAAATATTTATTGCATTTATTATATTTACCTTGAGTCATGAAAGTTTTTAATCCAACATTTTTCATTATTTTTTTTTACAATATTATATAATACAATTATCTTCTTTTGTTAAAAATGTATATTATAAAATAAATTATATTAATATTGTGCAATTATATTATATTTTCAAAATACTATTTATTATACATGCATTTTTTTAAATAGCTATTTATTTTTATTTTATAAATTAAATAGTAAATTAAATACAACATATTATATTCTCAAAATATTTTCCATTTTTATAAATTAAATATTAGTTTTATTTTTTTTAAATGCAATATAAAATATAGTATATGCTCAAAATATTATTACCATTTTTATGAATATTAGTTTTATTTTTATAAATGCAATATAAAATATAGTATATGCTCTAAATATTCATTTTTATAAATAACAGTTTTATAATTTTTATAAATTCAATATAATATTCTCAAAATATTAGCTTTTTACATGTATTTTTTAAATAATAAGCGATAATACTCGCTGAAAAATATGGTAAAATACCTCATAGGTGAATTTTTGTATATACCAGGTCGAATATAATTTTAAAAAATTCCGAGCCGGGCCTGAAATTTTTAAATCCGGGCCGGGCCATAAAAATTTTTTTTTAAAAATATCCGGGCCGGGCCTTAAATTATTAAATCCGGGCCGGGCCTAAAAAATTTAAAACCGGGCCGGGCCGGGCCGTGCAAATGGTACCTCTGCAGGTCTCTGATAATTATATTCTAAAATTATCTAAAATATAAATTAATATATTCTAAAATTATATAAATATCAATTAATATATGAGATAAATTATACTTACAATTTTGTATCCATTTTCTTTAGCGCAAAATTAAAAAAGCATTAAAAAAATCTAACCAGTTTGCTTTTTTATTAACGCTTGCCGTAAAAAAATCCAATTTGCACAATCGTATCAGGTGAATTCAGCGAACTTTTATCGCGAATGTCGTTAATCGCGAAAAGTTTTTATAAACATTTATAACGAAGACATTTTCAAAAAGCCACTGTCGCGAATTTATTTCCGCGAAACCTTAACCGCGAATTTCGAGCAAATACATTTTAGCGAAACATTTTACGCGAACACTTTAAGCTAATTTTTTACCACGAATATGTTTGCGCTAAGTCATTATCGCGAGCGCATTACCGCGAAACAATAAATATATTGCGAATGCATTTATTTAAAGGAAAACAACATATTATTTATTATTTGATATTTTTTTTAATAAAAAATGATATGCTACTATACTATTGTAATATTATATTTGTTACAATTAATTAATGATTTTCATGCCCAAGATTTTAAGTAAAAAATATTTCTTGAAGTTCAAAAAGATTTTTGAAAAAATTTGATAAAAATTTTAAATCTTCTTTGTAAATATATCTTTTTTGAGGTTTGTGAAATTTATTATAAATATACAATATTTAGGTGAAATCTTTAATAGTTTTTTTTATCATTTTTGTAAAATGAGGTGGGTTTTCTAAATAATTTTTTTTAAATATTTATATTTAACTTATTTATGATATTTAATATGATCTTTTTAAGGATAATATTTCAATGTGACAATTGTCAATTCGTTATTTTTAAGATTTTTGAAATTTTTTAACTCCTAAGGGTAAAAATATCATTTATATTGTAAAGATGTTAAATTATCAATGAAGATCCTTGGAAAAAAATGGCTATTATCTTAATCGATATTTTTAAACATATTAGATTCTTTGACACTAATGGACAAAAATATGTATTTTTAACATGTTAAATTAGAATTTCAATTAGGATCATAATCATTATTTTTAAGTTTTTTACATTTTTTTGACGTAAATGGGCAAAAATATAAATTGCTTACATGTTAAAATAAAATTTCTACTATAGATAAGTTATAATTGTCATTAAAGTTTTTTGAATTTTTTTGTTGCAAATGGGTAAAAATATAGATTGTTAACATGCTAAATTAAAATTTCATGAAGATGTACAATTGAAAAGTGACAATTGTCACATTCGTTATTTTTAAAGTTTTCTGAATTTTTTTGACCAAAATGGGTTAGAATAAGTATTGCTAGCA